CGACCTCCTTTGTGTCCCCCTAATCCTGGAGGAGGAGTCAAAGGCTTTTGTCGAGGCCCAAACCTTCTCGGCGAGGGTGATTTCCTGGTCGAGTAGCCTTGTGCTGGCTTGTTCCAGCCTTGTCCGCATCGACGGCATACAAAGCCCTCACAGACCTTGTCCTCCCAGATCCAGTTGCCGCAGGATCCATTGCAGCAGACTTGATATCGCCTGCCCCAGCCGCCTGTCATCGTGATGACAAAGTGCCAGCAGAGGACACCGGCTTTGGTCTCAATAGCGTCGAGCTCGATCACGTGAAGTGCCCAGACAGGCGGTCGTGACGCTTGAGCCAAAACCTTGAGCCTTGAACCAAATGGCTACGGAATGTATGTATGTATGTATGTATGTATGTATGTATGTATGTATGTATGTATTATAACGCAACGAGGCAACAATCAAAAGGCTGAGTGTCCATGCATACTTGCATGCAAATGGCGGGAATTTGTTTTGAGGGTTTCGAAGCTTCCCCTCCATTCTTGTTCAGGCGCTGGGTTTGCAAGAAGAGTTGCGGAAAGCACAAGCAAGTGCAGCAGAAATGGAGGTGGCAGCAGAAGTGTTTGGCGATGTCTGGTGGTGGCCAAAAACAAAGGGTTGAGCGAACATGTCATTTTGATTTTTGTCGCGAGTTCAGTGTTGTTTAACAGTCGCTGTTTAAACACACTTTTGGAGGGAGCTTGCAAAGCAAGATGCACCTGAACAGGCACAATTCAATACAGCCGTGGCAAAGCATGAGGAAACCACAAAGCGGAGACAACAGGACACAACATGAATCCAACAAAGGTGCTATTGGCTCACTTTACTTTGCAACCACAACGTGATTTCAGGAATTCGACAGGGAAAAACGGCATTTGAAAGAGCAGCACAAGCGAGGATGAGATGCTTCAACTTGAGATTTCTGTTTCTTTTTGTGCTGCACAGGCTGGTCAGGCTGTGCATGACGTGACACCACTAAACTGAGCCAACTCAGTTGCCCAGGAGTGGAGCAGCTGCTTGAGAAGCACATCAAGGAGAATAAACATGGTCCAACGTGTTTACATGGACGAAACTACCGAAACCTCTGAGTCCATCAAACTTGAGAGTTGCTTTGTTCACAGGAGACGGCTGCGCTCAAAGAGCAATTTGACCGAGCCAGACATTTGCAGGCAAGCATGTGCAGTTGTTCAAAGCATGGTATCGTTGTGCAAAAATTGTAAGAAGTTAGTTATGTCCCATGAAGCGAGGAGATGCAAATGGAGATGCAGCAACAGCGCATCATAGAGCAGAGTCCTCTAGAACTGTTCCTGCATGACTTCACAATTGGATTCGTCGCAGCATATAACCTGCTGCAGCTGCTTTGGCTTCCTCACACTTGAGTGGCATTGCTAAGGCTGCAGAATCTCTACAATTCGAGACCATCGCGTGAAGAGGACTGACAAACAGCGGACATTGCTCCAAGCTTCCCTTTATATAGTTCGAGTTGTGGGCCTGACAGAAAAGCTTTGAGCAGGATTTGCAGCTTATTGCTCACTTGGAGACGGACGTGCAAGCAAAATCTGCTCACATCAAGAAGCCTTGGCCTCGTTGATGTTTCACTCGTTGATGTTTCAGACATACCGTGGTGCGACCACTGGCAAAGACAGGCTCTTGGATGACATGCAGTTTTACAAGCTGGAGTTGGTAAATCGTGAGCAGAACTACAACAAGGCTGGGCATTGACTGATGCTTTTACCGATGCTTTTAGGCTTGGATTGACGCGAACCAAATTTGACTTTGATTTGCATCCTGGGAGGTTTTTGGCGCAGCGCCAACTGTCGGCATAATGAATCCAATTGCCGCCAAGAAGCCAAGTGGGCCAAGTGGAGCGCAACAGATGAGAGTAGTGCAGCAGACCGGGCCTTGGATATGAAGTGGAGTTTGCAGCCTTCCTTGCAAAGCTTTTTTGGTGTTTTTGGTGGAAAGGGAAGACCATACTAGGAGCAAGGACGCTACTAGGGGCTCCTGGCCGCACGAGCAAGAAGCTACTAGGAACAAGTGCATCGCTTCTAGTAACAAGTGCCTTACTAGTAGTAACAAAGAAGCTACTAGGAGCAAAGGGCCTTACTACTAGGAGCAAGAAGCTACTAGGAACAAGGACGGGGGCAACAAATACACGGACTGACGCTCTCAAGCCACTTCCAGGCCTGGTGCTGCTATGAACGGAGTCAACATGGGCCTACCACCGTGATGGTCTTGGTTCTTTCGTCACAGTACCACAGCACACGTCATGCCTGTCTTGGAGTTATATTTATATAATCGCTTACTTCTTACTAAGCCTTACTACCTTACTACCCACAACCACCACTGAAAGATACTAAAAGGTTCTTGGTTCTTCTTTTGAGTGCGTGGGTGGGGCCGTGAAGACTGGTGGGGGCAGAGAGGCAAGACAGGGGATTTCCTTGAACCCTTCTCATGGTCGACGCAACTGTTTGGACTAAAGAACTAACCAAAAAGATGGAACAAAAAAGACTGGTTGACTCACGAAGGACAAACATAAGTTTACTAGAAGTTGACGGAACAAATTTGTATCGAAGACAAATGTCCTAAGGGCCCCTGTCTCCTCCAAAGGGCACCCTGAAGGGCCAAGGTCTGGGACTTGACCTTGTCCAGGCTCGGAACTCCTGCTCCAACCAGAAGCAACAGCAACAAGCCCAGCAAGTCCGAAGCTAAGTCGACCAGTTCAGGCTTTTCAGCTGCTCAGCAAACCTCTTTTTTCGCTTTTCGCCTCTTTGCCTGTAAACAACTCTCAAACTTTAAAACATGCAAGTCTTTTGCAGTCTTTTTTATAGTCTCACTTTCTGGCAGCCATTTTGGTCCAACAAAGTTGCTGTACTTAGCAAGACTTGCGCGCATTGTACACAGGACTCAGGAGTGTGTAGAGTTGCCCCATGAGCAGTCTGAGTGCAACACCTCAAGGGCCTGTCCCTTCAGAGTATGTTGCGATTGGAAACCTTCGTGTGAATCCAGTCCTTCACCACACTGTGGAGACAACTGTTTGCCCAGGCACGGGCTTCAGCTCAAACTACTTTTGGACCTGCTTAGATCGGGTGGTTGCAGAGCTACGGCCTGAAGTTGAAAGATGCTTGGTCAAACGTGATGAGCTCCAGAGCAAGATCGACTCATGGTATGAAGAAGGCAAGAAGCGTGGAGCTGACCTGACCCAGCCAGAATTTCGGCCAGCCTGTCGCGAATTCTTGAAAGACATTGGCTACCTCTGCGAAGACAAAGGGCCTGTGAATGTGACGACCCAGTTTGTGGATGATGAGATTGCAAGAGTACCAGCACCTCAGCTGGTCGTTCCCTCAGACAATGCACGCTATGTGCTGAATGCAGTCAACGCTCGGTGGGGATCACTGTATGATGCACTCTACGGATTCGATGTGATCCCTGCTTACGCTGTCACCAGCAGTGGAGTTGAAGTGAATTCCGCCAAAGGAGGTGGATACAATCCAATGCGAGGGGAGGCTGTGATCGATTTTGCCAACGGATTCTTGGATGAGATTGCGCCTTTGGCTGGAGGCAAATGGTCTCAGGTGTGTCGATTGTGGCCCAAATTTGTGGGTACGGTCCAGAGACTCGAGCTTTTGCTGGAGGATGGTTCTACAACAAGTTTGAAGACCCCTTCTCTTTTCGTAGGATCTCAGGGCAATCTTGGACCTCCAGATGCCGACCCATCAAAGAACCAGGCCGCTGGCCCGAGTTCCGCCCCAAGCGTGCCTGACCAGGGGCGCATCTTTCTGAAGCACAATGGTTTGTACATGATCTTGGAGATTGACAGAAGTCATCCGATTGGGAAAGCTGCTTTGAGCGGGATCAAGGACATTACAGCAGAAAGTGCTCTCACAGCCATTTTGGACATGGAGGACTCAGTGTCTGCCGTTGATGCTGAAGACAAGTGCAGGATTTATTCAAACATTTGTGGCATCTTCAAGGGGACATTGGAGGCCCCATTCCTCAAAGATGGCAAGGCGATGACAAGAAAGATGAACCCAGATGTTTGGTACCGTGATGACAAGGGAAATGTGTGCACAATCCCTGGACGTGCTCTGGCGCTCGTGCGAAATGTTGGACATCACATGTTCACCGACATGGTTCTGACAGCGGATGGAAAGCAAGTTCCAGAAGGCTTTGTTGACTGCATGGTCACCACTGCAGCGGCTTTGCAAGATCTCAGAGGAACTGGCCGCTTGATGAATTCAAGAGAGGGATCAGTCTACATTGTGAAACCCAAGCAGCACGGACCAGATGAAATCGCTTTGACCAGTCGTCTCTTCGGCCGAGCTGAGCAATTCTTTGGGCTTCGCCGAAATACCATCAAAATGGGAATCATGGATGAGGAGCGTCGCACAAGCGCCAATCTCCGAGAATGCCTCCGGCAAGCAGCAGAGCGTGTGTTCTTCATTAACACAGGCTTCCTTGACCGAACTGGAGATGAGATCCACACGTGCATGCTTGCTGGGCCTGTGGTCAGAAAAGCGGACATGAAAAAGCAAAATTGGATCCAGTCATATGAAGCAGGTAATGTAGACGTTGGGCTTCATTGTGGCTTGCAAGGGCGAGCCCAAATTGGGAAAGGCATGTGGGCCAAGCCAGACAGCATGAAAGACATGCTCGATGGCAAGATCGCAGAGCTAATGGCAGGTGCCAGCACAGCTTGGGTTCCTTCGCCTGCTGCAGCCACATTGCACAGTTTGCACTATCACCACGTGAACGTGCCTGAGCGTCAAATGCAACTTGCCATGCGCCCAGCAGCCAAGATTGAGCTGCTACTGGAGCCTCCTCTTCTTGGCCAGAAGCTGTCTGATGAAGAGATCCAGCATGAGCTGAAGGAGAATGCTCAGAGCATTCTGGGCTATGTCGTTCGTTGGATCGATCTTGGCATCGGCTGCTCAAAAGTGCCCGACTTGAGCAACATCGGCCTTATGGAAGACCGGGCAACGCTCCGAATCTCCTCGCAGCTAATGGCAAATTGGCTTCATCACGGTGTTGTGTCAGAAGCCCAGGTCAGGGAAACATTCCTTGAGATGGCCAAGTTGGTAGATCAGCAAAATGCTCGTGAACCAGGGTATTTGCCCTTGTCGGTGAACCCGGATGCATCACCAGCTTTCCAAGCTGCGTTGAAACTCGTATTGGAGGGCAAGCGAGCACCCAATGGTTATACGGAGTACACGCTGCATGAGGCCCGCAAGAAGGTCAAGGGTGAGATTGGTGGAAGAGCAAAGATGTAAATGTTTCAATGGATTTGCCATTTTCAGCCTCAAGCCCGTACAGAAATTGCAGGCATGGGCCGCCTAGCATGGCCTCCATTTGAGCGAGGGTTCGCTAGGAATGCAGTTTTGTAGGATGTTTTGTCTTTACTCCATCGCTTAGCTACCAAGCCAAAGCGTCAAACTCACCTTTTGAAAATCAGAGTTGTGGAAAAGGGGCAAGTGGTGGACGTGTGCCTGACGCTGTGTTTGATTGTTTGCTCGTGCGTACTGCGCAGTTCACCTTTGGGAGTGGGAGCATAGCACGTAGGATGCGACTGTGCTTAGGGGTGGTCACAGTTGCATTTTGCACAGGAGGCCATCAAGTGGCAGCATGCGCCGTGCAGGATCCATGGAATGATCTGAGTAAACTTCTTGCAAGCGAGATCCCACTTTTTCCGAAGTGGGGACTCAAGAGCCCCCAGCAAAGTCTCTAAACTTGTTTCACATAGCTATGCACAAGGTAGTTACGTGTCACCTCTGGTGCTGCCAGTACTGCTGTCTTGCCAAGTCTGCGGCAGCGTTTCGATTTGCAAAGCAATTCAGCAGCACAGAAGGAAGTAGTGAATTTAATTGATCTCGATTAACACATCTACACTCTTCACTGGCTTGCTTGTCGCTCGAGATCAAACTGCCAGTTTGCTCCAAATTGTGTCGGGAGGCCAGAATCACTGGCAGGCAAAACCAGAGAACATTCACGGATCCCATTGCCATAGCTTGTGATTATGCTGTTGACAATGCTCAGCCTGCTAAGCTGAAGATCGCACTTCGACTCCAAACTCTTACAGGCTCAAACATGATGCTACTGACACACATGAAACTGTGTTTAACATGTACACTCCACTCCTTTGCCAGATGTTGCTGCCAGCCCAAGCCAGAAGCCATCGACCGAGACATGAGACTAGGCAGCTTAGACTTGCTAGCAATACTATGAGGGCAATCTTTGACAGGGACAGTCTTTCCCAAAGAACAGCTGCATCCGTTGTTGTGCGTGGAACAACCATGCCCAAAACAAAGAAGAAGTCCAAGAAGCAGCTTGAGGACGTTTGGCAGTACTGAGAGTGACATGTTTTTGCACAACTGCAGCCACCCGGCAGGATGAGCTTCAGAAAGCAGCTGAAGAGCAGAAACGACAGGAAGAAAAAGAGCGACTCTTCAAGCTCGAAGAGGAGGGGCCTATCCGTTGCAAGGACATGGCATATACAGTATTGGAAAGCGCCGATGCACTCCAACAGGATGCACTTGCAGCTCACCGCGAAAGATTAGAAATCGAGCTGGAGGGCAAGAACAGAGTACTTGAAGCTGAAAGGCTCGAGGCCGCCAAACATTCCTTCAGTTTCTCTTGCACATCAGGGTACTCTCTAATTGCGAAACAAAGATTTTGATTGCCCAAAAGCATAGTTAATAGCGTAAACATATGCATGGGACGGGCTGGAAGTGGAAGACGACTGACGTCTCACAGGCAGCGGATACCTCATGGAATGCCGCCCATCTGCTTTTTGGTTGACCAATGGACCAAAAGCAGAACCGTGAGTGTCTTTGAGACCTCAAATTCTTCCAAATCGTCTTAGGGGTACGAAGTCGTTTGGACCTGTTGTGCATGTTGAGTCGCAAGTTTTAATCTCAACATCCCGGCTTCGACGGAGCAGACCCCTTCCTTCCGGACCAAACTCTGCGACATCATTTCCACAGTCCCAGCCTCTGCATCTTCAAGACATTGAGCGCTTCTGCTGCAGCCTGGAGCGCGAATCGTGACCAAAGAAGCAAAAGCTGAACGTGTTCGAGTTGAAGCACTGCACTATTAGCCAAAAGCACCAAAGCACAACCGTGGGTGTCTTTGAGGCGTTTGCTACTTGCAACTTGGCTCCACCGTCCTCATGGTGCGAAAGATACACGCGAACGGAAACAAAAGCCCGGCCTCATTTCGTTAACTTTAAAAAAGAAGCGAAGCCTAGCGCAGCCACGGGACCCCAGCGCAGCAACCCGTTTTGAGTAGCCTTTGTTGCTTTGTGGCGTAGCCTGCTCACTTCGTTTTGTTTCAAGGACTCATGGTGATCTAGTTGGAGACTTGCAAGGTCATGGGAGTAGTCTGGAAAGCTTAGCCTCGAGAACAACCAATAGTTACAGGTAAAATTCACCAAGCCTTCCCGTTTTGCAATTAGGAACCCACATTTTCGCAATTCAGCGCCCAGAGTTTCGCCATAATTAAGAGTTCTTTGTTTTCGTCATCAAAAAGCACCCTCCTTGCACATTGTTGAACATTGTTGCCATTTTTGGTAATGCACATGTTACAACATGTTACATGTTGCTTTGTCAGGAGGAACAAGAGATGGTGGTCCGTGAATCTGCCAAAAATTGTCATTCTATACATATATAAATATATATATAGAATATATACGCAATTATATACGTCATGTGTTTTTTTTCTTTTTTAAATATGTTGCCGACTCTAAGTGACTCAGCAGTTTTCAGCCTTTTGAGCACTTGGCATTTAAGTCTGCTATGCTTTATCGATTGATGACAGGTATGAAAGGTGAACGAAAACGGTGTTTGGATTACGAGCAGCAACTTGGCACTCAGAAGTCGCCGCGTTGCTTGCACCTCATGAAGTGGCTCATTATGTGCTCATACAGACATCATCAGACATCCACAAAAGGTCAAATGGTACGCATCCTTTACAAAGACTTGGGCTCAACAGACTTGGGTAATTTGTGGTCTATGTTTTGGAACTGAGTTGATCTCAATTGGAGTTTCGCATGTATGTCAGGTCGAAGCTACAAGAGAAGATCGAATGGCAAAAATTTGTCTCTTGCACCTCACGTCCCAATGTCATGTTTGGATGCCCAGCTTCTCAGCTTCGAGCCCCCAGCACTGCTTTGAGAACTGAGGTTTGAGAGTGAGATCACAACTTATGTCACCATGGTGCGTGGGGGACTCAAACTGGAGCTTTGGGGTCTACCTGTGTGGCTCGCAGCGGGGTTCACGCCGTGTTTGCGTGCCCGCGTGCCCAAAGCCCACAGAGTGACACATTTGTTACGCAAGCGCCATGCACTCCCTTCGTAATCCTGGTAATGGGTGGGGTAGGGTACGGTAGGGCCAGGGAGGTATCTATAATATGCCTGTGTATTCAATTTTTTGTTTTATGTGTCATGATTTGTTTTAGAATCTCTCCCTATCAAGTTGCAACTGATGGACTCGGTCCAACCAAGACCACCAGCATCACCAGCTCGATTTTACCAAATTGTACCCAGCCTCACGTTGCTTGTAGGCTTTGGAGGCACGCGCAGCTTCGACCCACAAATGGCAGGGTTGGCGGTTGTATCTCAAACAATGCACCTCGACACACACTTATAGAAACACACTCTCACACACCATCACACACCCCACTTACATTCAGACTGTGCCCATCCACCTCTTTCGAGTGCCTGGCGAGTTTAGAGCAAAGCTTACAATTTGATGACTTTAAAGGTTCAAAAAAGCCTCTCAGGATCCTCAAGTCGGCCTTGAGTAGCAAGGGCAGCAAGGGCAATTGAGATTGAACCATATGCCGGGCTTTGAACACTATCGGCCTTTTGCATTCACTATCAACTCCGAAACCAAGTTATAAATACCATGTGCAGCTCTTGCGGTTCGGCTTTTTCGTTGTTCAGAACATGAGACCTTACATCTCACCTTCTTCAAGGAGGGAAACTGCAAGGGAGGTTGGTGAGCAATGATCAACATAATGTGAAGACAACCATGTATGTAGTTCAATTATTTAAAGTATGGACAGATCGTTTCGTTTGTACACCATAGGGCCATTGCACAGTTTAGGACACTGTCGGACATTCTTCATTTTTCTTGAGTGGCATTGGGCAGCATCACTGAGCAAGTTGAGTGGCCCTGAGCTGCTCGGTCCATATGGGTCAAAATCCATGCAACTCATCGAGCTTTGTTCAGCTTCTCTCATTTCGCGATATTTCCCCAAACAGTTTACTGTTGGGCTTCTACCTTAGCAAAAAAAGAGCTGGCCACACTCACTGGCCGCGCCCCTGAACTCTGTGGCTGGGCCCGGGCTCTGTGTCCAGGCCTTGTCCTCCTCTTGTCCTCTGTGGCTGGGCTCTGTGTCCAGGCCTTGTCCTCCTCTTGTCCTCTCATCCTGGGCTCTGTGGCTGAGCCTTGTCCTCTTCTTGTCCTCCTCGTGTCCTTGTCTTGGCCGCGCCCCTGAACTCTGTGGCTGGTCTCTGTGGCCGGGTTTACTGGAGAGGAGTGTGGCCGAACAAATAGCGATGTCAATGCCGGCAAAATTTCACTGATGAAGCAGTTTGCTCTTGGGGTGAAGGTAGGGCGTACCAAGAAATCGATTTTTGACTAATATTGGTCTAAGCGAATCGTTTTGAAGCTGTTTGGGGTCTATGCTGGTATAATTTTTTGCTTTGTTTATATCCACTGTGGTTTCTCGTAATTTTGTGAATTCCTGTTTCACTGTTATATATATATACATATAGTTAGTTATTTTTGACTGGGGTGTTTCAAGGAACCTGTACCACTGTCCACATTGTTTCAGGAACCTCTATGTGTTTGATTGAGTTTATTAACGTTGGCATTTTTCTCGTTTTGTCATGTCTTGTCCAGGTGCTTGCTGCTGTTTTTTCCTTTTGTTTCTGCGCAACAGGAGCCATATATATATATATATATGTCGCGTTTTTGTTTCCGATTTCTCAACTCATGCACGATGATATTTTACACATAAACTCAATCATGAAATGCCCCCAGACATTCAGTTTCCCAAAACATCTAGGAACCAAATGGATAGTGCGAGCGTGCGCCATCCTGCGCCCTAAGTAGTAGCTACTTAAGGTACTAGCTACCTTGTTTCTACTAGATACCTAACTAGCTAACCTACCTCACCTCTGCTAGCGGCCTACCTCCCCCCCGGTCTTTAAAAAATATAAACATGACAATTGTTGCTTTGCAGCTGAGTCCGCAAGTGATTTCGAGGTGAGGAAAGGTCGGACAGGGAATCTGTGGAGACAGCCATTGAGAAGTGCAAAGCCGCTGAAGAGGTAGTCAGACACTCGAGTTCTCCTCATGAGAATCCACAAACACTCGAGTTGTCCAGCCTTGTTGCTTAGCTGGTACAGCAGTAGTCTCAGGCACCTGACCTATGTTGTTTTTGTCCAATTTGCTCAGTGTCGGTTTTTGCTCACTTCATCCAACATGCCCAGCACCCTCGTTATTCAAGATTGAATGAACATTGAAGTATTGATCAATGGCCGAGAGATCTCTGTGAAAAGCTTAGAGCATCATGTGCTTTAGCTGAGGTTGGTGATCTCCTGGAGCTCTACTGCAAAGCATGTGAGGAAGGAAATGTAACACGACAAGACTGGTGCCTGACCATGAGCAATCGTGAATAGTTGATTTTTTCTAGCTCTGAAGAAACACCTAAGGTGCATGCACTACATTGGTGAGATTCGTGATTTGGAAGTGGAACTGATCGATGCAGCCACAGCTCACTTGCGCGGATCCTAGTTAGCACATGCGACACTTCACTCAGTCCAACTTAGGGCTTGGATGGCTCTTTTCATGCGATCAGGTTGCTCTACATTGAAAAACAAGAGCCCAACACACACCTGCAGGCGGGCAGTTGCTCAATGCATTGCTCAGAAAATTGACTGACGCTAGAATCTCGCAACGTGGAAGGTCTACTTGCAGTGGGGCAACGCAAACGACAACATGAAGGCTGACACCTGAACATTGTGTCATGACTCATGACACTTGTATACATTGGTTTGATTTTCCCGGACAGAATTGGAGTGGCATGTTGTGGGATTCTTGCCTGTCCAGTCTCGTCTACTGTCTACAGGTTGGATTTTGGGGCCACTTGCAGAGCAAAGGCTTCCGTGCCAAGTCCATTGAGCATAGCAAGATCCAGATAGGACAGAGAGCCTTTGTGTTTTGTTCTTTGAACATGAATCATATTCTTGGCCAAAGTGTCAAAGAACATATGCTGTTTGCCATTCACAGGACTAGATTTGCCAAAGGCGATCCAACTGCAGTCCATTGGACATTGCATCGGGGTTCCGCACCTATGGTTCTAAAGTTGTGCAGCTTTCATAGAATTCTGTTTGATGAGACGTCTTGCCGACGTTGTCAAGGTGCGATCCTTGTACACCACCTTTGACAGTGCACAGGGTAAAGATCCCGTCCAAATGTCTATTGGAGGCATGATCAGAGCCGGGGTCCCAGCAAAGTTGCACGAGCATATATAACTTAACTATAACGCAATAAAACCATTTGTGCATGACACAAGCAGGAGCTTTGCTGAAAGCTTGCTCAGGTAGACTTGCTCTCGATCCCTCCGTTTAGCAAAAAGGTCAAAGGATGGACGATTCGACAGGTGCCTGCTCCGGGCAAGGAGAGCATCAACACTGGAGTGTTTCCAGCATATGCAATGCTTAAGGCTTGTGCTTGACAGGAGCTAATGAAGCTGCCATATCCAAACACGGAGCACACGACAGTTTCATCCCAAGAGTTCACTTTAGGGCAGTATATTAATTAATATACTTTATGTCAGGCAGTATTGTCCCTGTCACTAACTTTCCAAGGCCAGCACTGCCATTGCTGCGCCTTGCAAGATTGACTACAAGGTTGCCCACCGTTCAAACGTGGTGTATTTATGTTGGGTGTCTTCTGCACTCAAACACGAATAGATCCGTGATGCAAATTGTCCAGGTGCCCAGTCACGTGCTGGTCAGCAAAAACCCTGTAGTCTCTTGGTGGGATGTGCCCAGCTCAGAATGTCTTTTGATTGTTGTGGCCTGGCCACAGTTCTTTAGACTCTAGTATTAGTAGACTCTAGAGGCTTCAAATCGCTTCAAGCTGCTTGAGTTGACAGAATTCATTGCAGGCATCCGTGGAGCGTTGGTCCACAGAAGGGATCAGTGAAATTACCTGGGAGCAGGCTTCGGGAAGCACATTTGCGTGGCTATGTTGCCACTCTGAATACTTGGGAACGATGATTGTACAAAGGGCTTCCGGCGAAACACATTGCCTCAAACTCGTCAGGAATCGAGGAAGATCTCGTTCTTCACTGCAAGGCTTGCATCATTCTCCATCACTCAGGACAACATGTTCGAACAATGTTGCCACGCCACAATACCACCATTGTTCTAATGGCTCAATGGGTGAGTCTTGCTGTGGATTAGCATTTTGCCGGTCATCCCTAGTAGGTTGGAGGCCATCGCTACTAGGTTGGAGGCCATCTGCCATCGCTACTAGGCATGCCGAGTCAAGTTGTGTCATTTCTGGCGACTCTCTCAACTCGCTCATTCCGGAAACTAGGAGCGTCACAGCGACTTGCCCTACAAGCATTGGAACATGAGGCGAGAGACACCATTGGTGTCCATGAAGCAATTAAATCACGACGATTCTAGGATTTTTGAGGTTTGGAAAAACACTGCACAGATATATTATATGTAATATATATATATATAAGCCATGTGTAATATTTTTCCACAGGATTCCATCATGGCGGTTGATGAATCGGTCGGTGGTTCTTGAGTTCTACCATCCGGACCAAATGGCTCAAGGCGCGACTTCCGTCGCACACGGGAAAGGCTGCCCATGCTGGGGTTTAGTTCGGTCGTGCTCTTCAGTTGGCCTGGTGGACGAACGAGTCCAGTGGCAGCTGCAGCGTTGAGGCGTCACGGAAGCAGAAGGTAGCACTGGGCAACAGGCCACTGGGATTGCTCTCTGTCAAGGACAAGGTCAAGACCCTCTTCAAGAACATGATCCCTGGGCCTCCACCAACGGTGCCGGTCAAGCGGCGCCCACAGTGATGCAAGGAGCGACGACCTCGGGTCATGAGGCCGCAACTCCATTGCTCTCTATATACTCCAGCAGGACCTGAGACAAGTTCTCCACCACCGGCTGCAGGAGACACTACATCCTCGGCGGCGGCGGCGGCAGGCCACGGAGCGACTACCTCCTCTCCCTTGACGACGCCCCTCACTCCTGCGACGGCACTGGCGGTCCTCTATATGACAACCTCATCAATGACGCCCTTGGGTCCTTCCTCGGCCTCGGCGGCCTATGGAGCGTGACGAGTACGCCAGGGAGCTTGGAACTCCTCATGGTGAGGATGGTTGACTGCGCCTCCCTTTTCCCAAAGCCAGCTGGTCGATGAAGATGGCATCCTCTGACGTCTTGATGTGCTGACCCGCGTACTCAGCGTCGTTCTCCTCCCATTTGCCAAAGGTGAACCGTTGGTCCACCTCCACCAGCCAACACCTGTGCCAGGCATTCGCGCTTCTCATGAACCACCAACGATTGAATCGGCCGTGAGAACCGGCCATGAAGCTTCAGACACCATTACGGGCGCGCAGATTGCCACCTTGAGGCAGGCCCAGTGTTGACACTGCTGGGCACTACATAGGTGCTTTACATCTAATCTGGTTCATGGCAACAGGAGACGCAAAGCCGGAACATGCGGCTCGCTTATGCTGTGGTCAACGGCTTTGTGTGTGGCAGCAACGCCACTTGATTCATGTGGTCTTACCATTTTTCCAGAAGATGAAATGCTTTGTGCGCTCGGTATATCGGCGGCGCCCACCCAGGTTTGGAGGGAGCGCATCTTTGTCCTAGCGTGCAAGCCCAACTTTGATTTCTTCAAGGCTAATGTATTGCTAAATGTATGCATCTTCAGCAACACACATGTCTAATCGCTTTGTCAACTTCCTGGGCATGACCTCCGACAGGGCTCTGCGGATCTGGCGCTTCGAGCCTGACAAGATGTGCTTTGTGGCTTTGTGGTCTGCTCCGACGCCAGTGCCATCAACGTGAATGGCACGGACCAGGTTGACCTGAGGCCCTGAGGGACTGCCACAAGATGCTACACAAGTGCTGGCGCTCCAACAAGCTGAAGCGGAAGGTGTTCTCAACCTTTGGAGGAGAAACTCAAGCTACGCTGCAGGGCGTCAATGAGGTGGACTGGTTGCAGGTCACACTGAGGGACGCTGCAAGGCGTAACGAGCAGCTTAGCTTTTGGCGGAACTCGCTCAGCCCTCATATGCTGGCCGCGCGAGACCATGCGAGATGAGACCATGCGCGACCAGTGCGCTTTGTGTGGTGCGCAGCGCAACGGACGCGAAGACACTCCGCGAGAGAACCGCAGTGGAAAGCAGGACAGAAAGTCCGCTTTGGAGTTGGCTATAACCGCGTCAGAAGACGCTAGTCGACAGCGTGACGAAGATCGACCCTCTCCGAGCGAACGATGCCCTGAACCAATTCCTGAAAAGCGGGCGGTTGAATCTAGTAGATGTAGCTGAAGAGCTGCAAAAACGGCAGCAGAATCCCATCTGGCCCACCTTCAAGAAGAGAAACCACAAGGCATTTCATGAGCGGTTGCTGGAAGAGCACGAATCCCAGCTCACTCTTTTTGTCAAGGACCTAGAGGGCCGCTTGATCAATGAGATTTGGGAGAGCTGTAATGTTTTTCCACAGCATTCCATCGCGGCAGTTGATCAATCGGCCGGTGGTTCTTGAGTTCGACCATGCGGGCCGAAGGGCTGAAGGCGCGACTTCCGTCGCACGCGGGAAAGGCTGCCCATGCTGGGGCTTGGTTCGGTCGTGCTCTTCAGCATGTGGTTGATTTAAACGGATATGTTGTGGTATATGATACTTGAGATACTCAGTACATAGAGTTTGTTCAATCCTTACAAATAGGAGCCAACAAAAATTTCCCACAGGTAGGATGAAAAAATTTGGATATTCAGGGGTATGCAAAAAAATTGTATTTGGAGCGTCATGGCGGAAGCACTAGATTTGCGCTGAAGGCCTTGTGATGACATGGTGGTGGAGCTCACGGTTCAGGTGTGCTTGTTGGTTCAAGATGCCCCCGAAACCTATATCAAGATCGTTCATGAAGTGTTCTCGCAAAGACTAGCAAGCAGCCTTGTCCTGAAAACCCTTATCCCTGCAGGCTGCCAGGTATGAGCTACGCTTCATGATCTCAGAAGATGGACTCAGGACTGGAAATGCAAGCTGCCGAGCAACGCACATTGAAGTCGCCTGGCTCTAGGCTCAAAGGACCTCAGCTGCCAGAGCTTTTGGACGTTATGTCAAGCTTGCATGTTTGGACTAGATTATATAGTTTGTAAGATGGGTTCCCGGCCAGCAATTCGCAAGCTTCAAGGCCATTGGCCCCAGGAAAAGGGCAGGTTGACGACATACAATGTGCGCCAGGTTTGAACCTGGCAGCGGAGAGGCGCTAGCAGACTTGCATTTGTTGTACAAAGTACGACTTAGGTCTTGGGTGCTCCAAAAATGCCAGCACAGATTTGCCCAAAAGTGGGTGGTGTTTTTGCAGGCAGGAGGCTTGAGCGGACCAAGTGGCCGACGACCTCGTATTCGCAGCCGCGCACCCAGAGCAAGATTGTGTCACAAGCATGTCGAAGGGACTTTTCGAATCTTTCGGACATAGTTTTGCCAATTCCCAAGGGCAAAAAGGAACACCTTATGTCCATTGTGCAGCTTTGAGGGCTGCATGAATCTAGGGGCATTTTGATTGACGGCAAATGTAAGATAGTGGAACTTCAATCCAAGGTCCAGCGACCCTTTTGAACGAGCTCCGCGAGTGTGGGCTGAATTTGATGCCCAAGGCTGCTCGGGGTTTCTTTTGGGGGGTTGCCTTGCGATGGCTTGAAGAGGTAATCACAGTGAAGTGGCTTGAGATTGCAGAAGCCGAACCTTGTTTTCTTAGTTGTTTTTGGGCGACTTCTCCGCGCTTGTCAGAACTCCGATGCAGACCAACTTGAAGGCTACACTCCGAAGCATCCTGAAACTCAGGCAAGCTCTGCATTATTATTTTGCAAGCATGTGTGAGAAGATCCCTGAGTCTTGATAAATTTGTGGTGGTTGCAGTAGCTTTTGGGAACCTTTAGGTATCAAATCCGGGCTTGCTGCTGTTGCTGCGCTTGTGCACTGTGCATGCTTTTGTTCCATGCTATTTCATGTACACATCCTTTTGTCTTGTGTCCCCCGTCTTTGCCAACGTGTTAGCAGAATGTAGACATTCTTGTGATTGCTTGGTCTCTCAATTGATATTTTGCACACTGTGTGCCGTCTTGGGAAGCCAGGTTTAGGTTTGCAGGAAAAGCACTTGGGGCGGGAAGGTACATGTTTAAGACTCGACCAAAATCATTTGAAGATATTGAAAGTGTCTTACTATTGGAGTTGTCAGTTTCAACAGTTTTCAATTGCTTTCAACGTGACTCCGGTGTGCACAATTTCTTTTCTTTTGCATTGACTGTCCTTCCTTGTTGAGACTCGAACTTCATTATTTTTGTGCTGACACCAGTCAAGCATGGACATGCAGGTGGCCTTGGATAGTCTGTTTGCTTTGTTTTATGTCGTCATGTGTAGCAGCGCCGAGGCCAGGGCATACTCGGACTTGAGCGAAATAGCCGCTTTCTACGACATTGCTTCCTCAAGACACAACAAGGTGCCAACTTTCCACAAAAGCATATGGTTTCACTCTTGACAGCCTCGTGGAAAAGTTTGATGGCCTTGCTGTCATCAGGACTTGCCTGCAGAGCGTGCCCTTGTGCGAATTCGTGAAAATGAGTTGCATGAGGTGCCACTAACAGCATTAACAGCTACATTGTGCAAACGGAACATGCTGTGAAGAGTCACAATCAAAGCTTCCGTTTCCTTCTGCTTCTCTTCAAGTCCTTCCATCCCTCCATGCTTGGCAGAAGTAGTCGTCTTCTTACTGGTCTTCTCTTTGCTCCTGATTCAGGCACTTCACATCTTCATACATCCTGACAGGTCTTCAACCCCCTGGATGCTGATGGTGACAATGACTATCAAGCCATTATGTTCTTTCCTGACAAATGTTGCCACGTGCAGTTCGAAGCTCAGAGGTGTCAATCAATACGTACATTCAATATCATTCAACGCTTATTCTTGGCGAAGCCGGTTCGCGAGCGTTGTTTTGCTAAGGGGTACCCTTTCGCGCCCGCGCAGAAAAAACGATAAAAAATAAACTTTTCGATTTTTAGCGTTTTGACAACGGATATGGTATTAAAAAAGGAGCGCCCCCCCCGGTAAAAACAGTATTTTTGTTTTCGATTTTTACCGTCTTACTGCGGATATGGTAGAAGAAAAGGGCGACCCTCCGTTAAACACGGTAAAACAAAGATAGAAAAGGAGCCCCCCCCGGTAAAAACGGTAAAAACAAAACAAATCGATTTTTACTGTTTTTACTGCAAGGATGCCTCGCGGGGACCCGGTAACCCAAGCAACACCGCTAAACCAGCACAGATGGTAGTATCAATGCCTTTTCTTCAGGTCGCTCGAAGGTATTTCACCCTGCAGGGAAGCTGCCCAGCTGCAGTTCAGAGAAGCAACAGAAGGTATCAGAAGGTTCAGAAGGTATTTGACGTTGCTTGCCGTTTAAGGCCATGGCTCCTGGCCATTTCACGCATGCTAGCCTGTATCTTTGCTTTGCAGAACCCTCAGACTGGACATTGACATGAGTGATTTTCACAGCATTTACTTTATGATACTCCATTTAAATCTATTAACCATATGCATATATTTATACACATGCAGTATATCCTTGGACGTTGATATGCAAAACCCTGCCAAGCGATACTTACGCACCTCCAGTGTTCATTTGCCAAACGCTGCAAAACGATACTGGACGTCCCAACTTTGAATGCATGCCAAACACATATTGTAATTTTGAAAACAGCTGACATGCTCCCAATCTGGTAAATGTCGCGTTTCCTTTAAGACAGGAGCGCACTGTTGCAGAGTTGACAGCTCGACAGAAAGACCCAAGCCCAGACAAGCGAGGTTTTACACAGCCTATTTTTGCATTTTGCATCATGATGAAGTGTTATTTCTTGGAGGTTCAAGTGGCGGCTCATTTCAACTCGTAGCTTCCTTCTTGTTACTACTAGTAAGGCACTTGTTACTACTAGCGATGCACTTGTTGGTGCATTTTGCATAGGAGAAAGATCCATCACCGGGTCCTGCACACTCAGAGCGCCTTCAGCGTTTGGAAGTCACGACACTTGTCTGCTCTTGACGTCGCTGGAGATCTCAGCTGATATTTTTACCAAAACTGTGTTTAAGTCCCGGACGTTTGTTCCAGTTCAAACTTGCAGCAACTTGGAGTTCAAGCTCCAATGGGTTTGTTGAATCTGTTCAACCCCCAGAAATCAACACACATGTTTGCATGCATGGCCTTGCCTAGTAATTACTGTAAACTTGTATAGTTCAGGGTTTTTGCTTTTTTCAGCCCCAATGTGAGAGGCTGCAAGAGCTGTTTACAGGTCTTCAAGACCTAGATATCATTTGCTTTGAGGACCTCAACCGTGCGGTTTGTGGAGGCCGTGAGGCAATGCCTAGAGACGATGTTGCGGATTTTCACCCAGTTTGTCAAGCTTCGAACAACGTTTGCCGGGCTGTCAATGGGTGAGGCAAACCATGCAGCTGATGCACCTCTTGTCTTTTGTGTGAGCTGGGGAAGCTTATGCAAGCAAAGAGCTCTGAGAAGCGCTTCTTGCCCTGAGAAGTAAAGCGTTTTGCATGCGAAAATGCTGTATTTGCAGATCAGGCCAAGTCACACCGCAAACTGCGGGGATGTATTTGGCTATTCTACAGATCCAAATGCCTCAACGTGCTTGGGAGTTTCACCAAACTTTCCCTGGAGCAGCTACGGTAAAAGCAGATACTTTTGTCGTCATCAACTTATTTAGAATATTGCATGCCTTATGCAAGTCCAGCAAGCTTTCGTTTCATTCATCCGCACTCAACCTGCAGCCACTATTCTTGCTCAAAGAGCTGTTCTGCATGTCATGGCAGAGTCAGACTCTGATGAAAAAGCCAAGCCGGAGGAAGTTTGGGCCTTTGATGAATGGAACCTGATTGAGATAGCTGGAAAACTGTCTTTTCTTAAGAACGCTGCAATACCATTTCCGAAGATGATTTGCAAGTCTCCAGTGTTCTGGCTTCCAAGTTTCTGGAGGGGTGAGGAAGCGAGGGCAGTGTTGGAGATTGGAATCGAAATAGGTCAAAGCCAAGTATTCAACCAAAACCATGGGCAGGATTTGTAGGCTTCAAGTATGCGTACCATCAGAACATGTTGCAGTACAGGGTTGGACAGCTGTCATCACAGAAAAAAATCAGAATTCAATCAAGGCCCAAGGAGATGCAGATGCAGACGGTGGGGAAGGGCATTGGCCTCAGCTGGAAGCAGCCCAACAAACCAGAACACACACTGCTGAAGAACAATGTTATGTAGGACAGTTTGTGATTCTTCTTCATTGACATACACTTTGGATTACTTTGGTCACATTGGGGTTTGAATATTTTGGGGTCATTTCTTGGCTGTTGCGGCAAAGGTCAGATTGCACCCGCTTTAAGCAATAGACATGCTAGAGGACTTCGAGTTGGACAAATGACCACGGCGACAAGATGATGGTGCCGCCGACGCAGACACGTCTGCTTTTTTGAGATTAAAGCAGTTGTCCATCTGCGCGATTACCAAACAATTTTGATAAGCACCTGGAGACTCGCTTCCATCTCCATCGCATCATGGAACATCAATGTCGGCGGACGGAAGCAGTTAGTTCATAACATTAATTTTCTGGCATCAGCTCCAAAAGCTTCTGACCGCTGCTGTCAGTCAGCACGGGGGCCTCCACTTCAACTCGAACTGCCCAGCGGGCTCCTTGAGCCACGACTTTGTTGCGCCTGATGGATTTGTTTTGTGGAAAAGCCTGCGGCTTTGCGTTTTGACCTTGAGCACTGCCAGCTTCGAGTGGACCTTGGCTCACAAGATGGTAGTGCGGGGCTCGACCAGGCTTCGGGTTGAGCGTGCTGACCACGCCCTTGCCACCGTTCTCGTCATGGTCAGACATGAGTCTATAGAACCCACATGCTGCCTGAGGGCTTTGACAACGTTCCAGCCCGACCCTGACGAGCTGGAGACAGAGGGCAAGCTTGAGGAGCCAGATGGCAGTGCGTGGCATGCCGCTCAGGGATGACCTTCTGCGATGTGAGCAGCGAAGCTTGGATCTTTGCCATTCGCGTGATCTTCATGACGAACCTGCCGCTTCGCGCGGAGATCCCTGTGGGCACATGGGTGTGCATGCCTACATCGACGCCGTCGCTGACACTCTCAAAGGCATAGGCGCGCTCCACTCGAGCGCCGCTGATGAAGATTGCCTCATAAGACGAAGAACAGGCAGAATCCTGGCGGCTCACTATGGATTCGGTGGATGTGACACGTGGACGACGAGGCTGCTCTCAGACTGAAATGCAGCCAGTCAAGTCATGCCGCTTGCGACGGACCCTGTTGAACGGCTTGCCACAGTGCTGGCCACAGCCCTCGGCAAGAAGAGGCGTGACTGTATCAGTTCTCTTAAGGCAGAGGCCGAGCAGGAGATGGAGTTCAAGCCGGTGGATGAGATCTACAGCAAGTCCGCTGTGGGCAGCGCCCTGCAGCTCAACCAGATGTCAAGCAGATGAGAACCGTGCGCGTCAAACTCCAGCGAATGAGCCCTTGACGTCTTTCCGCAACAGGTACAGACGGGCCGAGTCCTCCTTCAAATCGTGCGATCATACAGGCGGAACGACCGTGCAGGTGACCTATTCTATGAGCGGCTTCGCCCTATGGACTTATGGACTGGAATCATCACCAGCAACGCCCTTAAGAACGCCGAGAAGTCACTTGTGGATACTCGTGGTCTGATGAAAGGGGGCCAGGCCCATCAGAACAAGAGCCTCTTGATCCCATTGTTCCACGCGACTGACTACAAGAACCTGAAGCTGCAGCCTCAGACATACCAGAACCAACGCCGACTCTTGAAGCTACAGTGCTCAGGACCTTCTGCGACGTGGGCAGCGAAGGTTGGGCGTGTACTCGTGTGATCTTCGCGACGAACTTGCGGCTTCGTGCCTGCCCCGTGACGCGCCTGGCAGCGACTACGGCGATAACGCAGGCGAGCCAGCTACATCGACGCCGTCGCCGACGCTCTCGCAGGCATAGGCGCGCTCCACTCGACCACCATCCTGATGAAGATTGCCCCTAAGAAGAACGACAAGCAGAATCCGAGCGGCTCACTATCGATCCGGTGGTGGATGTGACACCCGCTCATGCCAGCCAACTCAGTGCTGGCCACTGCCCTCGGCAAGAAGAGGCATGGCAGTTGCCGAGGAAGAGTCCAGTCATCAGCTCTCTTAAGGGCATGGAATTCGCGCCAACGGATGAGATCTACTGTGAGTCTGCGTCAAACTCCAGCGCCTTCGTGACACAGGCCATGGGACGCTGGCCAACTGAGTCCTTGACGTCTTTCTGCAACAGGTACAGGCAGAGTCGAGTCCTCTTTAAAATCGTGTCTATGAGTGGCTTCGCCCAGCGGTCTGATGAAAGCTCTTGATCCCAATGTTGCATGCGTACAAGAACCTGATGCAGCAGCCTCAGAACCAACGCCGCTTCTTGAACTGCCACAGCTCTCGGCCACTAACGCAATGGCCTCTCAAACCAAATCAGCCACCGCCGCCGCCAACAACGCAACGTAAACCATGGACCTGCTCACCAACTTTCAACCAACGCATTCGGCTGCGCATCCAGCAAGATGACTTCGACCCAAACATCGGCCACAAGCTTATACGCTGCGCGACGACGTGTATGCATGCATGCATGCATGTATGTATGTATGTATGTATGTATGTATGTATGTATGTATGTATACATATATATATACTGTTTTCGGAAGGTGACGCGCAGGCAAGGACTTGCCTGCGAAACCAACAGCTACATCAACCAGTCAACAAGACATACAACGCAAGACTACGCGAGACAAGGGCGAAACGCTGATCAAGATGATCAGGAGGTCCCTCGCGCGTTACGAAACAGTATATAGATATTTAGAACAAGACGACGACTGCCGTTTTGTGAGGACTGGGACATCAAAGAAGTGGAGTCAACTCTACCTTTGTTCACTACCTTGTGACCGGGGACAACTGCGTTGAGTCTTCCGCAGCAAGTTGATCCGCGTGGCTACACAGGTCATCAGAGTGGCCGAACTGCCTTCGCCCAAGAAGTTGCAGTCCAGGAGCAGAAGGACATCCGCTCACTGGCGGGTCATGACGCGATAGCAATCTCAAAAAAACATTCTTCTGATTGCGCCTCCTTGCCAAGAAGATGCCTGACTTGGACCTCGCCTTACCTTTCATCCTTCCCCCGTTGATCGTGCGGTTGTCCTCACGGGTACGGAGACTCAAGTTGGGCAAACGCCCCAGGTGGGAGAAGGCAGGTGAGATATCTGGTCCTTTTCGGACAGCCAAGTGCTTCGACCTTGGATTAACAAGTGAGGCCAGCGCTGTGGATGAAACGGGCGATCGCAGCGTGTACTGCAATCGCTTCACACCGTGGCTCTATGGTGGCGCGGATGAAGTATACCTCGCGATCGCGGCCGGGGACCAGGCCAGGTGCAGTGCGTGGACTGCAAGAGCCTGTAACGACGCCGTGGTGAGACGGTGATCAGCGCTCGCCCCGTGGTGGGTTCCTACCAGCCACAGGGTGGGCCCACCGTAGAGGAGCAGTGGCTGTCGCGTCCTTATGTCGCAGCCTATGTCTCTCTGATTGACGAAGATCTTGCGCTTCGGTTGCACAGCGTTTGTCAACCAGCATGGACCGTCCATTTCGAGTCGAGCTGCCCACCAGTTTGTTGCGCTTTGATGACTTGATGGACTTGCTTTGTGGAAAGCCGGCGGCTTTGTGTTTTGACCTTGAGCGCTGCCAGTTTTCTTAGAGCTGACCTTGGCTCACAAGATTCAAGTCTTGAAGCTCACCTTCCACTAAAGGGTTCTGTATGGTGGTTCATTTACCTGCACTGATGCCGTTTTTTGTTGAGCACGGTGTCCAATGGACCCGCGCTTTGAATGATCATAACTTGTCTTGTTTATGACTACCTTGGCTCGCAACTAACCCAGCATCACCTCGATGGTAACCAACCCAGCACAGCAAGAGAGGTCAGTATATTTTAGCCGAAAATTTTGTTTCCCCAGCAGGAATTCAAAAGCGTGCGCGTGTTTTGCTTGTCCATTGCGCGGGGCATCGCGTGTAATGCGTTTGTTTTTGCAAAGTCACAGGGGCGAAGTTCTAGGCTTCAAAGCCACTTACACGGCGCTGTAGGTCCAAGATGATCAACAGAATTCAGACCTGTGGTTTTAGAAAGGCTCCCCAGGCTTTTGGTGGACCCTTGAAGATATTTTTGCCTCGCAATTTCCACATGTTCGCACGTGCAGATCTATGAGCAACTTTCGCTGCAGGGGCGCAGTCGCCACTGGAGGCAATATCAAAGGCGTACCGACAAACGAGAAAATGCAAACGAGAAAGACACCTAAGAGATAATATAAAAACAAATTCAACCTTCATTTTTGATAACATTTTTATAGTTTGTTTTTCCAAAATGCAGCTGCTAGCCGAAGCCGAACCCTGAAGTTCAGGGCGCGGTATGCGAGCGTTCCAGCCAGAGAAGGAGGAGGTTCGCCACTGAGTTTTGGTAGAGACTGTATTGCCTCATTCCCCATTTGAGTATCTCACGGATTCACAGTTTTGATGAACGCTTTGGACTATTATACAAAAGATAACCATTACGAAGGCCAGCCGATAGGCTAGGCTTGAGCTTTTAGAGCGGACGAAATGAGTTAAGGGGGCGTGGGGGGGGGGAGGTCGCGAAAAGGTGCAATTTGAGAGGGCGAGCCCGGAGCTTGGCGAGGGAGAGCGCTCCAAAGCAGGGTCAGAAAAGCAGTGAAAATGGGGTCTGGTGATGCGAGTGATGCAATGGACGCCGAGTAGTGCATCATTAGCATCATGAAGGGCTTCGGAGGCTATTTGGGCAATGGGCATTGAGCAATCGAGTGGAGACAGGGACCCACGTACAGAGCAGACCGCCGCCGCATGTAGGATTTGAGTTCCCAGGACAACCCGTAACTCGCGAAGTCCATAGAGAACCGAAAGTGACATGAGTTCAACTCCATGAATTTGGATTGAGTTTCGGTGGGGATGCCTGCGAGGTTGACTACATATCCGCATAGGGTTCCTGCCCCCTAGCAAAAACTATACTTGCACCATGTCCTCAGTCGAGTGGATGCTTCTCGCGGCGGCCACACGCGCCGAACGTTTTTTCCGGCTTGCCGGTACAGATAGATAGACAGACAGATAGATACAGACATAGATAGATAGAGAGATAGAGATAGAGATAGAGAGAGAGAGAGATAGCCCACGGCCCAAAGATCTACACATGCAGGTGCCAAAGTCAAGGCCTCTGAGTGAGAAAAGCGCAGAGTTGATGAGACAGAGAAGAATACAGAAGGTGTTTGGATCGTTTAATGAAGGCCCCTTGAAAGGAAAAAGACTGTGTTTTGGATCGAGCCAGGACATGACTCACTCAAGTCCAGGCATGTGCATCGATAGGCGCACAAATCCTCACTCCTTTGCTAGCCCAAGCTACTCCCGCGCGACCTCCCCTTCTGCGCCGCGGGATCAAACGTCCGCCCCGGCTAAGACGTGCCCGTTCACTCTTCCAAATCAACGAATCCGCTTTTTTCGACGCGCCGCAGTATGCATTGCAAACTTCAAACGCTCCAAATGCAACAAACACATACTTGCTTCTTTTCAACCCCACGCCTACTGGCCGCGCACGCCGCGGCGACGCTGACTATGCAGAAGGTCTTCCTGCGTGCGCGCGCGTGGTATCCCACCACTCGAACTCAGATGGTATTTCCCCTTCGCTAACGCTGATGTCGCCTTCCAACTTCTATAAGACGCATACCTTCCTGTGTGTGACAAACACATGCCATTGCCTTGTGATGATGACCTACACGAACATACAACGTATCGCACTTCTCTTTCACTACTATTTCTTTCATTAAAAAATATCCCAAAGCCGCCCGGCTTGCTTCTCTGCTCCCTCCATCACCATTATATACGCCCCCCCCGCATCCGCAGCACCGCTGACTCGCAAGCTGCCGACCATGTGTCTTGTGCCGCGATGCCCGCCAGAAAAAGAGACACTCGTGTGGCGGCTGCTGGCTTTCGTCCCCTCCTTCTTAGGTATAAATGATAAACTCACATGTGACTATTTCAACATTTTCTTGGCGCTGGTGCATGAGCAAACGACTTTCTTGTCAAACAATATCATAAAGAAGTACATCATGCAAACATGATCAGGATAAAGTCGGATTCCGCAACTGCACAGAATTCCGCCGCTACTAGGATTCGCAACGACTACATCATGCAAACATGATCAGGATAAAGTCGGATTCCGCAACTGCACAGAATTCCGCCGCTACTAGGATTCGCAACGACTTGGTTGGGTTCCGCAAATGGAACTCCGCAAGTGTAGTGTAGTCCGCAATTGGCGTTCCACAACTGTCTCAGCAAAAGTGACTTCCCAAAAATTACAATATTGAACAGATGCTGGTGGGCATAGGGGTCGTAGGGGGGTTGGCAGGGTTGGCGGGACAATCATGTTTGCAAACGAAATTTTACAATTAAGGATTCCGCAACTGTCTGAGTCTTGTTTCCGCAACTCGGATTCCACAACTTTTTTGATTCTGCAGCTATTTTGATTACAACAACCCTATAGGTCACCCCGACACTTGGGCTGACCGTCTCACGAATCATCCTCTCTTTGTTATCCATGACTTTCCAGTTTCAGAATCCGACTGATTAGTTTCAGAATCTGGCTCTAACCAACATAGTTATGCCAAAGATCAACGCATTTGCTGAGCAGTGTTGCTGTCAGGATGAGCCTGTAGCCAAAGCAAAGGCCGAAGATGAGGCGTTTTGATTTGCAATGATGGGGTATTAAGATATATATATATATATACGCCTGTTGGGGCACACCTCCAGGCTCCCGTCCCGAAAACGAAGGACGAGGAGGCACGCTGGAGCTCCGCAAGACTCAATGTCTTCCAGAAAGCGGCTTTGCAAGGTGCCAGCAACAAAAAAGAAGGCCGAAGACGAGGCACATGGAAAGGAAGAAGACCACAGAGTGCAAAATAAATATGTTGTTCATTGGCAGTGCACTCGAAAGGTTGAGGCCCCACCTGCCAAAAAGGCACGTGGCCAACCTGATGCGGATGGGCTCTCAGCACACTGTTGCGCTCGTGGAAGAAGAACTCACCAATACACTGAATACACTGAAGTTATGTTAGCGCTGTTCACTGTTTTGTTTCCTAGAAAATGGTTAAATTCCAAAATCAGAACGGAGGGGCAGGACTGGCAGAGGCATGATTGAGTTAAGTGCAGTGTGTATAGTCTTGCAGGCTGTCTAGTCTTTTGAACCTGCCACGCCAACGGCTGGGCCATAGGTCAAACTGGCAGCTCCGTCGAAGCCCATCTCGCGATGGTCAGACAGCAGGGACCTTGGCCTGATGCTGAACAACTCTGCCGGCGATGATACACAATTCGTTGTGGGCAGTTTAATGGGGTTCCCTTGCTGACACAAAACAAGTCTATCTCAAGTATGATTGAAGCGGCTTTGCTGCTTTGTGTTGTGTTCGCTTTATACTCTAGATCTTTGCTCTTCAGGACTCAGCTTTGAGGAACAGCTGGAAGACTTCATGAAAATGCCGCGAAGGGGCATGCCTGCCCCCCAGAACCCGAGCACCTTCAATCAAGCTCGGGCTCAAGGTTTTAGAGTACTATTTCCTTTCTTGCTCCAACTTGCGTCGACAAATTCTAAAGCAGGGTAGCGCCCTGACTGTACTTATATAATATATAATACTTAAAGACATTTAAGAACAGTCCACTAGAATAGTACACGCATTCCTTCCTCGGGAGCACAACAAGAACCAATGACTTCAATCGTGCAATGGAAGAGTGCGAGAGCCAAAAACGGATGCAAAGTATGAACAATAGACGAGACGAATCACTTTTTCAATGCGTCGGAAGCTTTGCAATCTTCTTAGCCTGTGATTGATTCGGTTGAATTGTGTTTTGCATGTGTACAAGTCCCGCGCCTGAAGCCCTGAGGTACAATCGGTATCTTGTTCTTGGCAAACTTCCACCTGAACTGCGCACAGGCCTTCATACAGCACTCCTGAGGTGTAGGTAGATTTGCAAAATGCCAATTAGGATAATTATTCACACCGGCAACACCCACACCAGACTTGAAGCAAGATATATATGCTTGAGTTCCTGTACACACACACATGCTCGACCGAATCGTTCAATGTGAAGGTGAGAATATCTGGAGACTTATGCAGCCAGTCCAAAAGGACATTGTCCAGGTGGGTTGAACGACGAGTTGTTTGCTTTGTTTGTTTTGTTTTGTTTACCCGAATGCGTAGCGAAGGGTTCTCGTTTAACTCTGGGGGTCTGGGGGTAGACTCTTGTTCGCGACTCGTTGTCGTGGCGTTCGCAATCGTTTGCCGCACGTCGCAACCGTTTGCAACCGTCCGCAGTGTTGCGCTATGGTGCTTACATTGGCCGAAGCTTTTGGAGAGGGTTTTGGATGGAAGCATGACGTGTCAGGTTCGTGTGAAATAGCGAGGAAACGTGCGGAAGCGTGAGAGGATGAAGTGTGGAGGATGACTTCACTGCGCAGGCGCAGCGTTTTGTGAGATCCGCAGTTTTCTGGGCAGTCAGATTGGGATAGGGGGTGGTGATTTTGGGGTGTTGGGTGTGGCTGTGATATTGGGATTTGCGCTTCAGGCTGTTGCTTCGAAGCTGTGTTTTCGCGACAAGTCTCAGCCCATAGGTTCCAGATATTTCGGGTACCTCCGCTTGTTTTGGGCTTGGGTAAGCGTGGCCAAACAGAAAGCCCAGATGTGACCTCAGGCCAAGAAATATTGAGTGGAGAGTGACGTGAATGTTTTGCACGCAGCATGTTTTTGTTGACCCGTCGGGGTATTATTAGGTGGATATGTGTGACCTATGTGTGACACTTGCCATTATACTATACTTGTTGTTTTTTGAAATCCGCCCGTGCCGAAGGTGCTGAGTCGTTGTGTAGGCTTGGCCCAAAATGCAAGATGCCTCCTGCTATTGATCTGCTTAATGAGCTTTATAGCTTGGGGGGGGCCTTCATTCTTGGGAAATGGTGTGTTGATTTTTTTTTGAAGTTTTCACGTTTTTGAAGATTTATAAAAACTGTGTGGTTTCGGAAGTAAATGTTCGCGATGCCGGTTATGCAGCCCGGGGGCGACTGCAGTATTGACATCGTGGATGTGTTGGTCCGTGTGCCCTGCCCGAAAGAGATAGACAGACTGACAGACCGATACAGGCATACCGAAACAGACAGACTGAGACAGACAGACCGAGACAGACCGGCTCCGACAACACAAATTGCTGCTTCCCACACCGGTAACATCCAGTAACCAACCCGTATCCTCGTGGGGTGCTACTGACACATTATCCATTTAATCTGTGCGGGCAGGTACCTACGTACATATCTATTCAATTCTACTTATATATCTATAACTTTCCTGCTTGGTCAGACCTTTATACTTACGAGTGCAGACTCGACCTTGCACATGCTGCTCCCCCAATCACTCCGCGCAACGCTACCGCCACCAGAAACCCCAGACCATGCTCCGGAAGGTTTCCCAAAACTTCGGGTGGTTCTGCATCATGGCATCATTTCTCTTTGTTTACACCTCTCTGTCCATGCACCGTGTTTGTGAGTAACCTAGGAATCTAGCACCACTTTGCCGGTGTTGTGATGCTACGTAGATGAATGCCCCAAACTGTCGCTTTGTGGAGCAATTTAATGCACATATTGGATGTGACTGAAGTATAGCGTCAAGGTCGAAATGCTAACCTGCTTCGGAAAGCCTGTGGCACATGTGACTTTGCGAAGTGCAACGGCAGCTGCAGCAATGCATAGACTATGCGAACAGCTGGGAGGCCAAGGTCGAGGTGTTTCGAAATTTGTTTGTTGTTTTGTTGATAAGCTCGCACCTTTCAAACTTGTTCAATTCAAAGGCATCACAAGAATTTGACAGTGGCCTTTGCACCGCCACGGAAGGACCGGATTCCTCTCTTGCATTTTCACTTACTTTGTTATTATCGTTGACATTTGCAGAATTTATCATATATGATAGGCCACACCCACTTTGTGGTTGGGCAATGTAGATGACTACGTTCCACGCAAATCTCTGGAGAGCCTGCTCGCTACGTATGCTGCTGAGAACTCATAATGCCACTTGTGCATCGTGGACGGCTCTTTAGTTTTGCTTGAGAATGATCCCAGCAAGTTTGCTGCCTTGGCAACATCATGCAAGGTTTGGCAAAGTTCTGCATGGTTTACGGTATTTGCCAGCTCGCACTTGTGCCTTCGCCACTTTTGCAGAGGCTGGTTTGTCATGACAAGCTTTTGTCGTTGCTTGCCCATGCTTTGCATGGCCTGTTTTTAATCTTTCTTTTGCCTCTTCCTTGATCTTAGGTAGCAAGCTCTGTTAGTGCCAGAAATAGCCTCTACGGGCTTGAAGTGCAAAAGAATCAGCCGCTTGGGTGCAGTCCCAGCCAATATGCAATGTTTATGTTGCAAAGTTGAAGGCCTGATTTTGCATTTGCTCCATGCAACTGGCCCAGCTGATTTGATTTGATTTGATTTGGTTGTCACTCACTCAACCGAGGTATTTGAACATCGACTTTGTTGATGATGTAGATACTCAGGCTGCTCCGCCAGATGCTGGGAACCTCAAGATATTGCAGCGTGGAGGGAGATCATTGCTGTTGTCTTATCAAATCAAAAAGCACTGAAGATGTACATGTGCTCCACACCTTTTTCACCAAGATTTGCCAACCCTTTGGCAAGTTTGTTTGGTTTTGGCTTTGTCTTAGAGCGTTTCAAGATTGCCAGCATTTAGGCCTTTGGCATGTGGGGAGGAGCGCCAGCCCCTTGGGCACCGCCTCCATTCGGGATGCCCGGAATGCCTGGAATGCCTGGGATGCCGTTTGTCCCTAAGACACTGGGAAAGACACAACATTAGAGAGCGAACGAAAGAGAGATGGAGAACATATGAAGCGAGAACTGATCGTGCTTATGCTTATGTATTGTTGATAGCATTGTCATAGGAATATGTGCCATTATGAATGTGTGTTGTAGATTTCATTAGCAGAATGTCACACTTACAGCAATTGAAGCACAGCCGCTGTTGTTATATACCGATATACCTCGAAACATAGATCATCAGGGTGAAAACAATACAATGCCCGTGAACACCACTATGGAAGCAAGAAAAGTAGACGCAGGTTCTCTTCTATCCACTGAGTTGCAAGGTACTTTAGTGTTTGGTTGGAGCGGATGATGAGTTTTTTGATGTCTATTTTTTTATGAGAAAGCTTGATGTCTTTTGGGTTGCTGGTCAGGCATGATCTCTCCGCCGGAATTTTCTGTGTCTCAAGGCCTAAGCCATACTTTTCGCTACGCCGAGAGGCAAAACGAGTTGCCCGTCAGACTGCGTCTACAGTGGTACTCGGAGCCTCAAAGTTCCTGCGTTCCCTTTGGGATTGACTTCGTTGAGCCTTACTGCATTGCCTCGGACTCCGCTTGCATTGTTTGGTTGTTCTTGAGTTGGTTGGTGAAGAGCTGCGCTTGACCCGATCGATTGGAGAACGGAATTTGTTCAGCTGTTGATTTACATTGTTGGCCAAGCTACACTGTACGTTGACAGTTGGGATCACTTTTGCTACAGCTTGTGTTGTTTGCTCGTTTTTCGGTTGCACCCCTCATCATTTTGTTGAGGGACCTTTGACATTTTGTTGGAGGCAAGAGCCATGTCGGAAGAAGACAAAGGCAGTTCGGCATGGTACAAAGTCCCGACATGGGACGGGAATCCGACAGGGTTCCGTCAGTTCAAGAAAGAGATGGAATGGTGGATAGCGTCCCTTGATCCTGTGTCGTGTGGCAAATTCAATGTTGCAGCCCGTTGGACATTGAGACAAACAGGAATTGTCAGGGCTCGCTGTGAAGAGTTTTTGCCATCAGAGCTGGAAGGATCCAAAGAGATATCCACGAAGGACCCAGACACTGGAGACGAGGTGATCGTTGAGGAGGCGAACCCATGGAAAGGCCTGCATAAGCTTCTGGCAGCTCTTGAAGAGTCGATGGGGAAGACCACTCTAGATAGAAAGGGTGATTTGAGGCGGCAGTTCTACGTCGAGCTCAAGAGTCTTCTCAACGAAGCTTCAGGTCAACGCCAAAGCCTGGACCGCAGCGTAGTGCCTTGGTTACTGAGGGACCGCCTGAAGAGCAAGAAGCCGAAGAAGAAGATGAAGAGTTGGTGCCAGATCAAGGCGGCGGCCCGTCGCTTGAAGAAGTTTTGCAGTCAGAAGCTGAGGTTCTAGCTGCAGAGATAGAAGCACTCGAGGACGAGGGACTCGAGGCAGAACTCATCGAAGGGCTTGAGTGTGGCGTTGAACAAGCTGCAGAAAGTTTGGAGCCAGACACAAGATAGCAGAAATCAAGAAAGACAGGGGCTATGGGAAAGTAGCTCCATCAGCTGCCAGTGCAAAGTCAAAGTTCACCGGCAATCAGGTGAACGGGAAGAAAGCGAAGAGCAGTTGCTGGGATTGTGGCCAACAAGGACATTGGAGTGGTGACAATGGTTGCCCCAACCCTGGAGCTGGACTTTTCAAACCCAAGCCAAGTGGCAACAAGCCAACAAAGCATGTGCGCGTTGCCGAAGCGTTGACTACAGAGTACTCCGCAGATGAACCTGCAGCGGATGAAGGTCACGAGGTGATGACAATGTCTCGAATCCTCTATCCTTCCAGTCTGGAAGAGGCTCTCACAAAGTCCCATGAGACCTGCGCCTCTCAAGTGCAGCGCCTTTCGTTGGACAAAAAGTTGATGGGGGCTTTGGCTAGCGCGTGCAATCGGACATGTTGTGGAACAGTGTGGTTGAAGCATTATCTCAATGCTCTACTTGCTGCGCCTCAGGCCATTCAATCCTTGGTGCAACAGCGACCAGAGCAGGAGGTTTTTAAGTTTGGAGACGGAGGGACTCAGAGAAGCACCGTGAGATACAGATTGCCGATGGTTGTGGGTGATGATCTTGTTTTGACATGGGTTTCTATCATTCCAGTTGGCAGTTTGGGGCTTCTTCTCGGTCGAGATTGGCTAGATGCTGTGGGGTGTGTTTTGAGTTTTAGCAAGAAGGTGATGAGAGCAGATCACTTGAGCGGCAAGCACATTCCGTTGCGGCAACTCACCGCAGGACATTTTGCCCTTCACCTCATTCCTCCGGAGTGGCCGAGCCCAGGCGCCCAGCGTTGGCGTCGAGTGGGTCTAGATGGTGTTGTAGCCCTGCAGATCAGTCATTCAGACTGGGTTCATCGCAAGTTGTTAGCTGTGCAATCCTCCCAAACTGTTTCAGCACGAGGTCATGAGCACTTGCTTTTAGAACACAGCATGTTTGCGGCAGACGTGAAACTGTTTGGTTTGCCAGTTTCTTGTGGTGACGGCATTTGTTTGGCTCAGATGGACAAGGTGCATCCAGCACGATCGTCATCGACATCGCCTTCAAGCTCACCCGGACGAAGCCTAGCTCCCGGGAAACATGGACACGCAGGGCGGCAAGACCGTCAACCGCTGGCGTCGTCTCATCGCCAGATGCCAGGCAAGAGTGCTATGGCACGCGCAAGGCATTGCCTTGTGGCTCTTGCGGCGGCCGTGGCTGCGATTTCTTCCCTTTCCATACCCCTCAATTGCCAACACAAGGCAATGGCTGTTGCAAGCTCAGCAGATGGTCGCATCCAAGTCGCTCTCCCAAAAGCATTTCGAACGAGGAGTGGCAGCCCAAGCCTACACAACTGGCAATTTGAAGGAAACAATGTGGTTGAGAGACCGCTTGGGATGGGAGACAGCTTTCATCGAGGATCCGATGCTCCTAGGGATGATGGCTGCAAGAAGCTCAAAGGGAATTGCCAGCAAGATCCGTCGGGAAGCAATCTCGGAAGCGAGGGAGGCCGCCCACAAGGCCAAAGAAGAGGGCAAACAATTCGAGGCCGTTCGAGCTCTGATCGGACCTCGAGGAGGACTTCCATCGCTGAAGAGCGATCTCTTGAAGTTGGCTGCGCTGCTCAACGTCGAATTGGGAGAAAAGGCCACGATCGAACAGTTGAAGACAGGCATTCGCCCAGTCCTCCAAGCAGTCATGAACAAAGTGCCAAAGCAGCCCGCTCCCGAAAGCATCACCAGTGGAGCAAGCTCTCACACGGAGCCTCCCAAACATTCGACAGCCAAATCCGTGGGCCCCATTTCAACCCCAGTGCCCGCTCCGACAACTCCGTCAGTGGCACCTTCCGGAACAGTGACCTCCGGAGTTCGAATGCAAGACATCCAAGAACTTCTCGCACAACAAGATCAGAAGTACCAGGCAATGCTGTCCCAAGTGATGCAGCGCATGATGTCTATGCAACAAGGTCATTTGGCACAAGTTCGGATGAGTGGACTGCGCTCAGAGGGCGCGATGTGGCACAACATGGCAGAAGGGGATGCCCCCATGGAGAGCAACGATTCAGCCGAGTTCGGTTGGACGAGTCGAGAAATCTAAGAAGCTCAGAGCTTCATGACAGAAGACGAAATGAGGAAGATCAACGAGGAACAGAAGAAGTTCCTGAAGGAAGAAGAGACCGAGCTGCTGAAGGGCCCATTCTTTGGGATGGGCACGGGCCTATGAACAATCCGTGGACAATCCATCAAGAACTGAAGAAGGGTCAGGCGAAGATGATCCAAGAAGCATGGGAGAAGCATTGCCGAGATCGCAAAGCTGTTTCCAAATCTCCCAAAGAAGTTCAGGAATCGATGAAGAAGGATTGGGACCAAACCTTCAGCAATTGCCTCAACGAGAACTTCATGATGAAGGTTGAGATCGGTCCACAAAAGGGGAAGGCAGTGCGCCCAAGAGCTGGTGCGGTGGCTCAAGCCCAGCCGCCTGTTCCTTCCCCGCCAAGAAAGAAAAAGAAGAAAGAGCCTGACAAAGAGTCAAGGCCGCTGCTTGGTGAGGTATACACTGCCACTGAACAAGTGGCAAGGCAGGCTAGGTTAAGGGGACATCGCGTCACCGAATCGACGTCTTTAGAAACAGGGTGGAACTTCCTACAAGCTGAAGATCGGAAGGCTTGTATCAAGAGAGTGATTGAAGAAAAGCCTTTTTGTCTTGTTTTAGCTTTTCCGTGCGGGCCGTGGTCTCCACTGACCCGTCTGAAGCCTAGTTCAACCCTGGAAGACCGAAGAAAAGAAGGAAAAGTCCTCATAGAATTTGCCATCGTCCTAGCTTCAATCCAACTCAAACATGGTGGACATTTCATTTTGGAGAATCCAAAGACTTCGCTCGCATGGGCACTGCCAGAGCTCTCTCAATTTTTGGAATCAGCGCAAGCAGAGTACGTTGATTTTGATCAGTGCGCCTTTTTGCTGAGAAGCCTTCAAGGGTTCCTTCACAAGAAACCCGCCAGAGTGGCCACCTCATCGACGTGTGTGGCTGAGGAGTTGAGAGGCATGACTTGCGCCAGAGACCGCTACCCGGTGGCATTGGCCAGAGCTTTCGTTCGTGGCCTGGAACGACAGTTTCACGCAGAATATGGCCAATGCCGAGAAGTGAATGCAGTTGATGGCATGGAAGAGGATGACCCAGGCGATACAATGCCAGTGTTCGACTCAGAATCCGATGTTTCTTCAGTTGGAGAAGATGATGAGCCAGCCGCCAGGATCTCCTCATCCGTTCGCCTGGCAGTGAAACGCTTGCACGAAAACACCGGCCACCGTTCAAACCGAAGACTTGCTCGAGCCTTGGTCCTTTCAGGAGCGCCGAAAGAAGTTGTTCATGCAGCAAAGCAACTTCGCTGCAGCCTCTGTGACGAGAAGAAGCGTCCAAAGCCTCGAAGACACTCGTCACTGCCATCTCCAAAAGATGTGTCAGACCAAGTTCACATCGACATCTTCGAATGTTCAGATGCTGCAGAACAAAGATTCTATGCTGTGCACGCAATAGACTGGACGAGCCGTTTCCAAATGGCCGAAGCTCTGTCAACAAAGGACTCTGATAGTGTGACAAAATGGTTTCAAGAGAGATGGATGAGCATCTTTGGCCCGCCACGTGTGCTGGTGGCTGATCAGGGTCGTGAATTCATTAGTTGGGCCTTTCAAGAGATGTGTGATCGGCGCTCGATCCTTTTGCACCATATACCCGTTCAAGCCCCACGCTGCAACGGTGTGTGTGAACGCGGAGGAGGAATCCTGAAGGGTCTCATCGAATGCTGCGTGAAGAGTCGTTCAGTGATGGGATTGGAGGATTTTCAAGTTGCAGTGCAAGAATGTGTGATGGCATACAATGCTGACGTCAACGAACTTGGAGTTTCCCCTGCCCAGGCAGCAATTGGCAGACAGCCAAGAATGATTGGTGACGTGCTGGGAAGTTTCAGTCAGCGGTTGGCCGAACATGGACTCATAGATGGAAAGCCAAATATTGCTCGACAGATTGCACTCCGTGAAACTGCCCGTGTAGCCATGACAAGATTGCATTTCTCCAAGGGCATCAGACGAGCTGAGTTGAACAGGTCTCGAACCAGCACTATGTCACAGCCCCTGTCACCAGGAGACATTGTCTATTTTTGGAGGGAATCGAAATACAACTCAAGAACTAGCCCTTCCAAGAAAAGACTTTCTCTCAGAAGATGGCATGGGCCTGCTTTGCTTGTGGCTTTGGAGGGCCAAAATGCTGGATATTTCTCGTTCAAGGGACAATTGACGAAATGTGCTCGAGAACACCTACGAGCAGCCTCCAGCATGGAGCAAATTTCAGCAGATGTGTGGCATGATGCAATCCAAGACTGTGTTGAAGCAGCCCTTCATGACATGCACCGTATTGGAACAGAGCATCCACCGCCAACCAGTGTGGACACGCCAGCCACACCCCGAGCGCCAGTGACACCCGCTACACTGCCCACCGTGCCAGAGCAACGCCAACTAGATGCTCATGAAGAATTGCCTCCAGTGCGACCTTCGGAGATCGTACAAGCATTGGATCCTGGCATGAGTGAACTCCCAAGCAGTGGAAGCTTGAGCCGCCGAGCCTCGTTAGTGGCAGCAGCTTCCAGAGAGCATTCCAGACAGATCAGTAGTGCAGCTCCAGGCACCCCAGTTCCCGAACTGATCACACAGGCAAGCCAGACCCCACAACTCAGTGAAAGACTCGAAGCTTCGATTGAAGACCTTCGAAATCTCGAGGATCGAAAGAGATCTGCCGAGATGGACGCAGAAGAACTGAGAAGCGCTAGTGGTGCAATTGAAGCAAGAAGTCACTCGACACTGGTGACTTATGCCGTTGTCCGGAATGTCCTCAAGCCAAAGAAAGCGCTGATGTCTCAGTATGCCAAATCGGAACCGCTGGACATCATTCCTGAGGCAAATCCAATGCTTCTAGAAGAGAAGAAGTTTGAAGAAGCTTTGAAGAATTCCACTGAACACCCGCTCAAGGTGATTCAGAAGCAAGTGGAAGTTGATCGTTTGAATGCTGAACGAGCTGAAGTACAAGACCACGGCAGTTGGTCAGGAAGATGGCCATTACCGTCCAGAACATCCTGGATGGCCCATGAAGCTTGCTGTGTGACTTGGCCGACCAGTGCTAATGAAGTCAATGCAGCCAAGACGGCCCGTCGTGAGATCAAGTGGAAGGAAATTCCTGAAGAACAAAAGAATGACTTCCGTGAGGCTGCCAAAGTAGGTTGGAAGGTCCAAACCGACAATGGAGCTTTTGAAATCCTGAGTGATGAAGAGTCCAAACGTGTTTGGGCAAAACTCCGAGAGAGTGGCCAACTTAAGAAAGTTTTGGTTCCCAGATTCGTCTTCACAGACAAGAATGATGGAGCTCGCTCAGATTCCAATCCTCTGCCCCTCCTTGCCAATGCCCGGGTAGTTGCGCCAGGGTACCAGGATGAGACAGCCTACAACGTCCGCAAGGACGCGCCGACAAGCTCAAGAAGCAGTCAGCACATCTTGTTCATCACTGCTGCATCCAAGGCATGGACCATTTGGTCTGCTGATGTGAAATCGGCATTTCTCAAGGGTGAACTGTTTGAAGAAGGCGAAAGAGAGTTGTACATCACCAACATCCGTCGAAGTTGCGCTGATGAGCCTCTCCTGCCGTTTTCAGCAGATGGATGGGCAAAGGTCCGAAAGGGTGTGTTCGGGTTAGCTGATAGTCCAAGAAGATGGTACATCCGTCTCAACAAAAGCCTCATTCGCTTGGGATGGAAGAGAAGCACCATGGACGCGGCGCAATGGGTTCTCTACGGACCAAATGACCGCACGGAAGGCATGATTGTAAGTCATGTAGATGACCTCCTTCTCGCTGGATCTTCAACTGCCTACGCAAGCCTTAAGGCTTTGGGAGAAGAGTTGGGATTCGGAAGTCTGGAGCAAGGTTCTTTTGCTTATTGCGGCAAGAACATTACACAGAACCCTGACTACAGCATCGAGGTCAACATGAAGGCCTACCATGAGAACGTTCAACCTGCCGTGGTGCCTATGCACCGGAAAAAGCAGCTGGACTCGCCCCTCACTCCGGGCGAACACAGGCAGCTGAGGGCATTAGTTGGAAGCATGCAATGGCTTGTGAGAACCACCAACTGTCAGAACGCTCTTGAAGGCTAATTCCTTGGTGCGCCTTTTCAAGCAAGATGCCAACTTCACCTTGAGATTCAAAGGCTTGGATTTGAATGGCGCAGGCATCATAGTCGTGACAGACGCAAGCTTAGGTAATGTCACCAGAGCCGGTTGTGAAGAAGGCACAGTGTTTACCAAAGTGTTTAGCCAATCAGCTTACCTGATCTTGGTCGCGGACAGAGACCTCATGGCTGGACGCGAAGGTCGATTCGCAGTGCTGGACTCGAGGAGTCACCGTTTGACTCGAGTCTGTCGATCCACTTACGGCGCAGAGCTTTTGGGCAGTGAAGAAGCCCTGGATGCTGCAATTTACAGCAGAGGACTTCTAGCCGAGTCTTTGGGCTTCGACGTGCTCCGGGACGACAGTGCCTACTGCAAAGCCATCCCGTTGCGTCTTGTGACGGATGCAAAGGATGTGTTCGACAAGTCTTCAAGCGACACGCCAACCTATGGATCACAGCGATCCTTGGCGTTCACAGTTGCATGGATCAGAGAAATCCTCCGCAAACCTTGCACAAGAATCCACTGGACGTCAACCGAAAATATGGTGATAGATTGCATGTGGAACGAAGCCAATGAGCACCGCTCATCTCAAGGAAGTGCTTGGGAAGTGTCAATGGAGTGTGACATACAACCCGACCTGCGTGAAACAGCCAGTTAAGAAGAAGAAAGATGTGTCGTTGACCAAGTTGGCACCTCCAGGACAAGTCCTGAATGCGGAATCTCCGATCCTGAGTCACCTACTCAGGCTTGCTGAAAAGCCCGGATGGCATCAGACCGATGCCTGTGGAATCCATGTTTGCCGAAATGCCCGATCATTTCGCGTGGGCCTCTCCAAGAATTGATGAATCTAAGTTCCCTGTTCGTACCACTTACGGAAGGTTCGACACCCCCGACCAATCCGAATGGCGGATCTTGGAAGAGCGCACGTGGCATGGCAAATCAAGTCTCATCGGAGACGAAGCCGCGGTGTTGATCACGTTCTTTGAACCAGCGCCCAAACAACCCCAAAATCCAAAGAAAGAGGAGTCGACTGAGAAAGCTTGATGTCTTTTGGGTTGCTGGTCAGGCATGATCTCTCCGCCGCCATTTTCTGTGTTTCAAGGCCTAAGCCATACTTTTCGCTACGCCGAGAGGCAAAACGAGTTGCCCGTCAGACTGCGTCTACATTTTATTTTTGCACACGATAGGCGGCGCATTGTTGCCACAACATTTATGAGCGCATCAGTGTTGAGATTGGTTTGTCAAGCGGTGTTGGAAAGTACCATGACTAACAGAACATCCACAAAGCAACTTAGAAAGTAGACTGTTGGAGGTTGGTTTCAACAGATGGGCTTAAGCTAAACATTTGGCCGGCCTGTCGCATGGTCAATTTTCCATAATTTCAGTTCCTCGCACTCCAAGGCCCTGGGGTCCACGACCCCCATGGGCTCCGTGTTGATCTTAGAGTCGAAGGTAACCAACAACAGACTGAATTGATTCGACTCGACGTTCTTTGAACTCTATCGATCTTCTTTGTATCATTCAGTTGAGGCCTGTTTGTCACTCAGGCCTCCTGGAATAGGTGGCTGGGGAATGCCACCCATTGGTGGTCCTTGGCGCTCCTTGACTACACATACTAAATTAGACAATCGTCTTGAACTACACAATCATGTTTCGAGACTCGTTCGAGACTCGTGACTGTCATCAAGCAAGACTTTCCTTGTGTCCTTGTTTCGAGGTCCTCCAAGGGTATGCCTGGCAAATAGCTTGACCTTGGACAAACTTGACACTTCTTGTATTTTTCATTACATTGACACTCTAATGAGCAAAATTCCTTTGCATGACATGCCGATATATGTTATATATATATATAAGTTGAGGGTGGTGGTGGGTCTGTGCCATTTTGGCTCAAGGCACACCAACCACCACTGGTGGAAAAGACGTTTCTTGTGCTTTGGGTTCGGCGTCGCGTGTGGCATGGCTTTGTTTGGCCCTGGCCGAGCTTGGTTGCGTTCCACGGGATAGCACTTTCAGGTGGATGATGCTGTGTGGGCCACCGGCCACCGTGAAGGGAAAGGGGAAAGGCAAATCTGGCAAGTCGATTGGGCGTCGGACTCAAGGCTTTTGGAAATCTTCCGCCCAGCTCAGAGTGTGGGGAGGATGAAGACGCAGAGCTGGAGGAGTGCAAAGACATCAAGAACTACACCTCAGTGTTGGGTCGCAGAAGCAGAGGAGGAGATATCCAGGTGCGCAGAGAAAGGCTTCGTGCGGAGGACTGCTTGGTGACGCGCCCAAAGAGAGTGGCGGAGGCACAGAGGGGCTGGAGGACCCAGAACGGCATATGGAGTTCTGCCTCATCGGCCTCGCGGATGCCTTGCGCCGCTTCGCAGTCAAAGGCACAGAACTACGGCGCTATTATTTGTCCCGGGCATTAAGACGGGCGAGGTCTTGGTGTGGGCCGCTGGCTGGCAGCAACCCAGCCAGGTTGATGCCATCCCAGGAGGGCGGGCCGTTGATGGCACTTCGCCAGATACCTGGTAAAAGTAGGGCTGACAAAGTACAAGGTCAAGAGGTTGAGCCATGGGCTCTGATCTGAGAAGCCTTTGCAGCAAGGGATGGAATGCCCCGTGCTGAACAACGGCAAAGTCACCCTCTCGAGCTGACTGCGGAAAATAGGTCAGGGTTGGAGGGTGGGCTTGGAACTTCAAAAAGCGACTTGTTCTTTGATACTTGCTGCTCAACAGCCTCAACAGCTAGGCAGCTTTCTTGCCAGGACGGCGACCACTGGAGAAACACTGAGCCTTGGGGAGTTCAAACCTCAGACGAATTGATCGTGTCCTGCCTAGTCCGACTGCAAGGAACCCTGCCTTTGCAGACTGGTGATTGGAAAACGGGTGCCCAAGAACACCCAAGCTACACACACCGACCCGAGCGGACAATTCAACGTCAAAGTTGCAATGCCTCCTGAAATTCAAAGCCATGGTTTCTCGGGGGGGGTAGACCGAGTTGTTCTGGATAGGGCCACCTTCAAGAGCTTCAGATGCATTGAGTGTCTACCTGAAGCACTTCAATCGCTTGATGCCTTTTGTCTCCAAAAAGTTGGAATTTATTTCCCCAAACAATTCTCTCTCAGGGAAATCAGCGGGCGGGCCACGATAGCCGTGGCCGCGCCACCTTGTCCGGGCGTTGTTCGGGTGTGTGTGTGTGTATGTCAACATCGCGCCAGAATGTGTGTGCAAGATGGGACAACCAAAGGGCGGCAACGAACAGTTGAGCAACCGAATGTGATATGCGAGTGGACTCTCTTTGATTCATTTATATTCATTTATATAGTATAGGCTTCTTTCCAGGGAATCTCATAATTATGTACTTTCGCCTCCTCCCCCCCGTCGTGGCGGATCTTTGCGGTATTTGTTGCGCGCTGGTACTTTGAAAGAACTCAAAGGCTAGGCAAAGACCTGTTGATCAACCCTTGCTTTAATGTTTATACGTGCTGCCTGGCTACGTGGTATTGGTTGTTGTTGTAATTCTTGTGACCGTGTTGCTTGACTACATGTGGGGGATCAGTTGCTTGGGAGTTTCCTTCCTAAAGTCCTAAAGCTTCAGAACATGGACAACAGATGGGCAAGTCGCCAGCATCCCACACAGCTCATCTCATGGACTTTGTTGGTTTCATTTTAGTAGAATATGCTGCAGACCGAGTGGCTTGACACATATATACTATGCAGACAAAACTGCGCAAATAGCTTGAAAAGACTATTGCATGCTACAATGACCCAGGCACACAAGCGACTGTGGGCCTAGCAGAAGCGCCCAAATCGAGTTTGCTGCAAGTGTTATTACGTTTTTTTTTTGCAGCCTTTTGGAATGAGCTGTCTATCGCAATAATGTGACAGCCATGGAAACAGATTGTAAATATTTACATAAGTGTTCTTAAGCAAAGGCGAGTGTGGGCCCGGTGCTGCCATAATGTTGACTCTTGATTAATCAACTCCCCCCCCCGCCCCCCCCTCAACAACCAGGGCCTCCAATATAATCTACTAGAAAACTAATCAAAGGACCAAAATGAAAAGAATCCTTATTAAAATCTTCTTGGCCTTCTCTGGCAATATTAAATTAAAAGGGAATCAATGAAATCTCAAATTTGGAATACTAAAGTAAAAGGAAATCAATAAAGTTGAAATGGAATTCTCAATATTTTAATGGAAATCTAAATCCAAAGACCTCCAAAAGCATCACATCTCAATGGAAATCTCCAAAAGACATCTGAAATATTAATTACAATAAAAGGGAATGAATCAATGCAAATAGAACTAACTTTTTAAATTTCAATGGAAATCTAAATCCAAAGACCTGCAATTTCAATGGTAATTAAAGCAAATCAAAAGGCAAAGAACAGGAATAACGATTTAAAGCCTCAAATCTCTAGACATTATTCTAGGGGCCCCCTCTAAATAATGTCAGAAAGCTGCTTGCTGGACTACCCCCTTTGCTTGAATGTTTTTTTGTTTTTCAATACTTTCAAATAAGGAATGTTATAAAGAAAGTGCGCACCGACTTTTGGAAACTTTTGGAAAGCTTCAACACTAAAGAGCTTAGGAAACGTAAATAAGGAATAGGGTGACTAAAGCAAATCAAAAGGCAAAGAAAAGCAATAAAGATTTAAAGCCTCAAATCTCTAGACATTATTCTAGGGGCCCCCCTTAAATAATGTCAGAAAGCTGCTTGCTGGACTACCCCCTTTGCTTGAATGTTTTTTTGTTTTTCAATATGTTTGAATAAGGGATTTTATAAAGAAAGTGCGCGCTGACTTTTGGAAACTTTTGGAAAGCTTCAATACTAAAGAGCTGAGGGTGAGTAAAGCAAATCAAAAGGGAACAAGTAAACTATAACAAAAAAAATATTCCACTACAACTATCCCTGCCAAAAGAAAAAGACATTATTCTGGGGGCCTTTATTAATCTGTGCAGGGAAAAACAAGACATTATTTAAAGGCTTACGCCTAACAGCCGGGCGCCGGCGCACTAGGGTCTGTGTAGGGCTGGGTCGGGTGCACGTGCAGCTACCGGGGGCGTACAGGGCCCTGGGTGGGGGCAAGGTGGGAAACTGCTCGGTGTTGGAGACGGGGGCCGGGGTCTGGGCACAAGTTAAGCTATCTGGTGCGCATCTTCGCCCTAGGTTGAGCCCATGCGGTCTATGTTGGGCACATCTTGGGCCCATGTTGAGCCTATGTTGAGCCTATGTTGGCCTACGTTAGGCCTATGTTGGCCGAGGTTGGGCCTATGTTGGGCCTATGTTGGCCCTATGTTGAGCCATCTTGGAGGCTATGTTGGGCATATGTTGGGGATATGTTGGCTATCTTGTGCCTATGTTGAGGATATGTTGGGAGATGTAAGTCGTCTGGAGGGCCTCTACCCACAAAATGTCGATTAAGCCTGTCCGCCCGGCGCGCATTACCGACACCACCCTTGAAAAACACAGCATTTTTGCATTTCTCCCTTTTCCCCGCGTCGTACTTCGATATGCGCAATAAACCCTGTAAAACACAGTGTTTTTTTATACCTCACACACACGATACACTGTAAATTACAGGGGCTTCAGTGAACCGGTCGTCCCCCCGTTTTGGGACCGAGGGTCGGCGGCAGCCGGCGCGACCGTCTATAACCTTCGGTTACCACCGAAGGCCTCCGGCAAGGACACGGGCTTCGTGGCCGGCGCCCGGATTTCAAGGCTTACGCCTAACAGCCGGGCGCCGGCCCACTTGGGTGTGTGGGGCGTATGTCACGCCTATGTTGGCCTTGGTGGGGCCTATATTGAGCAAAGTTAAGCTATCTGGTGCGCATCTTGGCCCTAGGTTGGGCCAAGTGGGGCCCATGTGGTGTATGTTGAGCACATCGTGGGCCCATGTTGAGCCTATGTTGGGCCTATGTTGGCCTATGTTAGGCCTATGTTGGCCTATGTTGGCCTGGGTTGGGCCATGTTGGGCCTATGTTGGCGTCTGTTGGCCCCAAGTTGGCCTATGTTGGCCCTATGTTGAGCCATCTTGGAGGCTATGTTGGCCATATGTTGGGAATATGTTGGCTATCTAGGGCCTCTGTTGGCGATATGTTAGGAATTATGTTGAAAAAATCTTCCGATACAACTTTTGACGATTTGTTCCTTCCCGCAAACCAAAAACACTGAAAAAACCGACGTGTTTTTTTTTACGTCGCCAAGCTGAAATTCTCGGCTGCCGAGGGGCCCGAAACCCTGTAAAGGGATATGTTGGCCACAAAGAGCACATCTGGGGCCCATATTGATCCTACGGTTGAGCACGTTAACCCTATGTTGGCCTCAGTTGGGCCTATGTTGGGCCTATGTTGGCGTCTGTTGGCCCCTAGTTGGCCTATGTTGGCCCTATGTTGAGCCATCTTGGAGGCTATGTTGGGCATATGTTGGGGATGTGTTGGCTATCTTGGGCCTATGTTGGGCCTATGTTGGCGTCTGTTGGCCCCAAGTTGGCCTATGTTGGCCCTATGTTGAGCCATCTTGGAGGCTATGTGGGGCATATGTTGGGGATCTGTTGGCTATCTTGGGCCTATGTTGGGGATATGTTAGGCGATTTATGTTGAAAAAATCTTCCGATACAACTTTTGGCGATTTTTTCCTTCCCGCAAAGCAAAAACCATGAAAAAACCTAGGTTTTTTGACATCGCCCAGATGAAATTCTCGGCCGCCGAGGGCCCCCAAACCCTGTAAAACACAGTGTTTTTATACCTCACACACACGAAACCCTGTAAATTACGTTGATATCAGTGACTCGGTGGTCCCCCCGTTTTGGTGACGAGGGTCGGCGGTGGGTCGGCGGCAGGGGGCGCGCCCGTCTATAACCTTCGGTTACCACCGAAGGCCCTCCGGGCAGGGCACGGGCTTCGTGGCCGGCGCCCGGATTTACCAGGCTACCGCCTGCAGCCGCCGACCCCAAAAAAAAATGTAGTGGCAGGGTTGGGTCCCGGGATGGTCGCGGGCGGGGTCCTGCCAAAATCTAGACAAAGCCAAGAGCATTCCTACGAAAATGCTGGAAAAGCCGTATAGGCATGAGTACAACAATGGAAAAAAATAGGTTAGCAAAAGGTTACCAATTTTTTGGGGAAATCTGGGAACCAAAAAACAAGAGGAAGCGCTAGAAAATTCTTGGAAAAGCATCCAGCCGAAAACATAACAGAATCTAGACAAAGCCTAGAGCATTCCTAGGAAAATGCTAGAAAAGCCTTTGAAAATCCCATAAATCCAACAGAAAACGTGACAAAATCTACGAAAAAGCAAGGGCATTGGCCGGGACCATGCCGCGACCAGCCCGGGATTCGAGCCCAGGACCATTTTGGACCGTGCTTATTTTCCCGCGCGGGTGGAGAGGGTGCCCCAAGATGTAAATCAATTGGGATGGCAGAATGTTGGACAATCCAGGTCACCATCAGGTCGCTTTCCCGTCAACTCCGTAGCTATCAGGTCGCTCTTAGGTCGCTTTTAGGTCGCTTTTAGGTCGGGATTTCGTCACTGCAACAAGGGTCCGGAGGGGTAGGGGAGGTGAGGTCTAGGTCTAAGGCTAAGGACTAGGTCTAAGTCTAAGGATAAGGCTAAGGCTTAAGTCTAAGGCTAAGGCTAAGGCTTAAGGCTAAGGCTAAGGCTAAGGCTTAAGGCTAAGGCTAACATCGACAGTCACGCCTCACCCCACGGTGTGGGGTCGGCGGATTCTAGGGGGCTTTATTAATCACAGGTCAACATTAGATGAACCCAGGGGCTGCTGGCCTAGCCACAGGTTGGAGACCAACCTTCCACAACCTTCCACGGTCTAGGCTAGCGTAACTGAAACCGATGCAGTTACAACTATTTGGCACCGTCCACAGCAGTTTCTTTTCTAGGCTGTCTATGGCGGCTTTCACAGCGCCAGAGCCAACAGTTGGGGTTACTGTGGTACTTTAAGCTGTATAGTTCGACATTGTCCTTTCGACAACATTTTGTCGAAGAGTTGGTCATGAGCTGCACATTGAAAACACTACAGTAAGGGGATCGGCAGATTAGCCGCCTCACCTGAAATACACACAAGCGTCACGTCAACAAACTGGTGTAAAGTGTAAAGCACATGCTATCAACTTAAGGAAGGTGCAACACCAGAATGTATATGGTGCGCAATGCAATAGAACAAGAACCCATGGCAACATGCAAGCTTTGCACCGAAGTTATTGTTTGGTCTACTTCCAAGATCTTCCAAGCCCCTGCTCGGAGTTGAACTCAACCTAGCCTCCAAGTATCTCACTCGATGCCAAACATCTGTAGCTTGAACCGGAACTCAACCTCGAACGCCCACTGGTGCTGGTCCCTACTGACTTCAAAAAATAAAGCACACCACCACCCACTGCGCCATGTGTGTGATGTGCTTAACAAGCGGGCATATACTCCTATGAGAAAATTGATGAGGTGACTTTTTTAATTGCATGTATGAGATGTATGGAATTGGGCCATGTATGACCCAACCAAAAGGAGTTGATTGCGCCATGTATGGGCGCTTTCCCGCAAATGTGTGGCAGACATGGTGCAATCTACCTTAAGCCGCTTACCACTGGTTCTTGAACACATTGCGCAATCCTTTTTCACCCCGTTTTAGATGATTGGGCTTCGCTTTTGCGTGGTTTTGAACACTGTATGCCAAGAGGTTGCTAAATCGTGGCTGAGTGCTCTAGTATTTGCCCTTGTCGGAGGCAGTGCCTGGTGCTCGTCTTGTCGAGTTTGGACCTTGACTGTGCAAACTGCTTTGAGTATCCAGACCTTTCGTTTTGCCAATCTTTGGCGTTTTCAGGCGTAGTAAAAAGGGACGGCAAGACTCGAGCCCGGGGAGAGAGGCAACGCAGGGATACAATGGGCATACATCGTGATATTATTGGCTGACAATTTTTGCCCTTTCGAGATGCCCGGTCGCTTCCACTTCCAGGCTTCAGCTGAAAAACCTCGAAGAAAGAAAGATAAAGAAGGCGCTCAGATGGAGGGTCTGCAAAGATTCCCAAAAGGCAGAATGTTCATTAAGGTGCTAGACCAGCCACCGAGTCGGGCACAAAGGCTGGCAGCTGACACGTCAGATGAGATGTTAGGGGACTTCAAACACATGAAGGCGGTGTGTGTGTTTTTAATGCATTTGCGAGTCCAAAGTGAAGCTCTACAAGATGGGAGAGTTTTGCTGCAACATTGTGGCCAACTTTGTCAAAGGCAGTGACCGCCGGTGAACACTTCTGAGCAATGTTTGCGTCTTGATAGTTTGATTTACTTTGAGGCAAGGAATCGCCGGAGTCTTTGACCACGAAGCTGCAGATTGATCAGCGAACAAAGGACCCTGCATTGATTTGATCCAGTCAATGTATTCAGAATGCATCAAAGACAGCAGCTTTTGGCAGATCGACCACTGTCGAGCTCACATGGAGAGAGCTGGCCAATTGGCAACTGTATGGCACTTCTCCGCTGCAGACAGGCCTGAATTGGTGTGGTCTATGTACCAAGTCAAGCATCTCAATCGAAAACTGATAGTATGCAGCAGTTTGATTTGCCAGGAAAGACTGTGCTGCGTGGGGAGCTTATTTTTTCTTGCTTGTTGTAGATTGCAGACAAGTATAGACTTGCTGAAGGTATGATGCCCTTTGTGACTACTTTGTGGAGAAACAGCGAGTAGGAAAGCCTGGGACATCTGAAAGTATTTGGTTAAGGGATTCTTTACCAGCAAGTGTCTTGCACCGTTGACCAAAATTTGACACCCGAGTCCCTAGCTTTGCTGCAGAAACTTCAGCTTTTGGGCTGAAACTAAAGTCTGTAGGTTGCGGAGTTTTGTTGTTGAACAAGACCGAGAGGTGCCCTTGCTTTGCAGGACTGGTACAGACTCCGAACTACTATATCTACATAGTTCCGCCAACGGAGAAGCTCGATACTCAAGAAAGGGGCCAGAAGTGCAGGCAGCGAGGTCATGGGAAATGATCCATTTCTGCAAGGTCGTGTGTTACCCGTCTTCCTCCAAGGTATTTGAAGGAGCTGAATTTGCCAGCTTCAAACTTTGTGGTGGGACTCCAGATCCCAATCAAAAAATGAAATTCTGAGACAACTGATGTTAGCGGAGTTTGGACAAAGTCTCCGCAAGCTCCCAAAATTCTCTTTGCTTGGCAGTCAGTGTGACAATGCACAGCATCCAGAGGGGGAGGTGGAAAACACCGATGTGGAGAGTGTGGTCTGCAATTCCTTGCTCATCACCACTGTAGGCAATGCATGCGGACAGCGTACATGCTGCATTGAATATGCTTTTCACTTCCATGGAATGTGCCTACCGAAGCTTCAGTTCCTCAAGCTGGCCAACATTAAGACTTGAATGACATGACATGGCATACAATCAACAGAGCAATACGAGTAACAAGAAGCTACTAGGGGCTCCTGGCCTTACTACTAGGAGCAAGGGCGCTACTAGGGGCTCCTGGCATCGCTACTAGGAGCAAGGACGCTACTAGGAGCAATACGAGTGGATGCCTCACACAATTCGTGGCTGTTCACAAAGTAAAATAGGCTGAGTGACATGCTAGGTTGCCTCTTCATGCATGGCTCCTTTGCCGGCTTGGAAGAAGGTTTTGTCCCACTGGCCCGCTTGCACGCATTGTTTGTTTGTTATTTCTTCTTGGGGGGCTGGCTGATTATATAAGGCTTACTGTATATGGATTGACAGGGCATGAGTGGGCCAGGTATTTGAAGCAGCCGTACGATGACAACTACGTAGATTCTTCTTTTCTTGATTCACTGAAAGTCAATGCGCATCTACAAAAATACGAGCCAAATCCTTACGTCACATGCAGTCCAATGGAGAATGGTGTCCACGAATCTTCACGACCGAGCTTGGGTTTTCCCAAGGTTTTGGGCCCTGTGGCACGATGCTCTCTCGATCATTTTCCAGCTTTCTTTGGTAGTGATGTTTCTTAACGCCTGAGACCGAGCTCACTGACTGAACATGGTGAACAATGAGCAGTGCAGCAACGCAATTATATAATCGAGTCTCCGAAACGTATGTATGTACTAGTAATGTAATGTAATGTTATGTAATAGTAATGTTATGCAAATAATGCTATGTAATGTTATGCAAAGCAAAGCAATATAATGTTGTGTAATGTTCTGTTCTGTTTTGTTCTGTCATGTATCGATGTATAGTATGTACGGTATATATATGGTATTTATGGTATGTATGGCATGTGTGTGTATTTTGGCATGTACGTATGCATGCATGCATGCATGCATTTTTTTCTTCTGAAGTTTATGATGCATGGCCGTTGTGGCCCTCGTTCTAGGTCTTGTGCCTCAGGGGATGCCAGATGCCTGTCTCAGAAGTATTCGACGGTGAACGGAGTTTCATCGTGCTGTTCTTGGCTTTCCAACTCTTCGGTTGTAGCCCTCGGAGATGTGACTTCATGGCTTCTGCTGATGCTGGTAGACGGCCTTGCTGCTTCCTGGCTGGGCTTCATGGCCTTTGCAGCATGGGTCTGGTCTGGGCCCTGTTCATGGAGGTCAAGATCCGTCTGGAAATGGAGCCTCCTTGGTGGTCTGAGGGGGCCACTGCTGTTCGTGTGCTGGTCTTGTAGCACTCTCTGAGTGATCTGGTGGTGCCTTGGCCGAATGACTGGTGTCAGCCGAGGAGTCTGGGGAACCACTCTGAGATGCTTGTTCCAGCTGCTTCTTGAAGATCGCTGTCAGAGGTGTAGAGCTTTGGCTGCCGGAGCCTCTGCAAGGTTTTTTGACTGCTGCTGTGAGGATAAGCCGGTGCTGGCCATCAAGGTGCAGAGTGATACCACATTGGGCACACATTGCTTTGTTCCCTTTTTGCCATAAGGCATGACTTGAGTGCCCTGCATGCTCATGCTTGTAGGGTTGGTCAATGCATTGTCCTTGCACGAAAGCTTGAAAGGCGGCTTCATTGGTTCGTTTGTGGACATTGGTGCCGCATCTCACGCACCTGAGATATCCCGCAGTTTCCTCAAGCTCATGCTGTTGCGGCGGCGGCTGCATCTCTTGTTGTTGTGTCAGGAGATTCTTGATGACTTGTGTTCGCGTCAGCTTCTTGGCAATTGGCTGGTGTGGCTGTGCCGGGTGCTGTAGCTGGTCTTCGATCCTGAGTTGGGGGCACTCTTCATGGAGCCTCTCTTCCAGGACTTGAACTGTCAAGGCTTGGTGTACTCGGATTCCACATGCACCACACTGATGCCCACTTCTGTGTGGGGCCCATCGGTGAGAGGGAGCAAGCCAAGGTTTGCTGCACTGAGCTATGAGCTTGCTTTTTGTATTGCTTGGTTTGCTTTCCCTGGTGCCTGGGTGGCTTCTGGTGGATGTAGTGCTCCTTGTCACTGTATATCGTTGCCAGTCTGGTGATGGCATGGGTATAGATGAGCTTGTGATCATCATCCAAGACCCTCTGCCATTCTTGTTTTCGGTGGTCCTGGTATTGCTTGGCCCTCTCCCATGCAGTCAAAGCTGCATCTCTCTGCCGTCGTCTGAGCTGAGGTTCACTGCCAGGAGCTTCTGGTGACCTGGTGTTGCGGGAGACATAGAGGACCGTTACTTGTTGGAAGTCCTGCTCTCTGAGTTTCTCCAGCTGGTCATTGAAAGGTCAGTTGTGTCCATGCCTCCCAGACACTGACAAGCTGCGCAATGACCCGCACCGCCGTGGTGGTGTGCTTGGCGAGTGCAACTAGGCCTTCTATGAGCGCTCTGGCCTTGGTGTGGGGCGGGTTTGGTGCTCCTGTGATGGCCCCGAGAGGCCGAAGATCCAGAGTTGATCTCTGAGATCATAGCTGGATGGAGTGGCATCCAAGGTGAAAGCCCACCCTTGATGTTGATGGGGTGCAAGTGGTTGAAGAGTTTGCCACGCTCCATGTCCTTGGTATGGCTGCGGTGAATTCTTCTGTTCTTGTGGTTCAAGTGGAATCCAACCTGCCGTCCACAGTGGTGTTTCATCTTCACAAAGAATCCTCTCCGCCCATTCTGGTGGCATGGGCTTGTGAGGCTGGTTGTGGTGCCATTTGCACAACCACAAGATATGCTTTGTGGTTGCAGGGACATTGCAAATGGGGCATTGTTTGACCTTTCCACCTTCCTTGTAGTGGATGGCTGCCTGTGTCCAGGTTCGTAGATGTGGTTTGTGTTCGCCTGGAATGGTCTTGATGACCTGGCGGTATGTGTGCCAGTCAAGGCCTGCCACAAGATGCTGATGGTTTGCCTTGCTGGCCAATCTGGCTGTGCGCTGGCGCCTAGCTTCCGTGAGCAGAGCGCTCTCTAGCTTCCACCATGGATCTCGTAGTGTGAGGGCTGCCGCAACAAGGTAGGGTCCTTCTGGTCGTTGCCATTGATGTATGTCTTGTACCTGCCAGTTCCATTCGAGCATGTAGTGCGGCTGCCATTGGTCCCTTCGCTACATACGAAGGGTGTTGACGATCACTGAGTTGTTGGGTGACCTCCTGCCATGCTTGCTCAAGGTGCTGCACTTGATCTGCTGGCCAGTTGTGATAAAGGTGATGCATGGCTCTGATGTGGTGCAAGATGACTTGGTCTGCTGGGCCCATGTATTTGGTGCTATGAAGATCATAGGTGCTGTCCAGGAGTCCTCCAGCATGGTGCCTCAAATGTGTGGCAGGCCTGTCGGAGGGCCTGTCGGTATCGTGGTGCAAGCCCTTGGGCTTCAATGCCCCAGAGTGCCACAGGCTGAATGCCCCCTTTATGTAAGCGGAGCCTGATTTTCAAAGCCGGGGTCTTCAGCGTCCTCAGCTTCAGTCGTCGCTGTTTGGCCTTTTGGAACCTTTGTCTGAGGACTGGGATTCTTCGCCTTCGAGCTGCCTGGTGGTCCACCCCAAGGTCTCTCATCACAGTGGAGATGGGAGGCTCGTGTTCCTTAAGAAGCCCTTTGAGCGCATGCTCCGTGTCTCTATCAGTGGCAATGAAGGCCGTTTTCTTTGGATTGACTTTTAGCCCAGTAGTGGTGCTTGCGGGCATCCTGATGGCACTCCATGATCAACATGGAAGAAGGGTGTCATCTCCTGTTCAGCCAGGATTGCCTTGGGACCACAGTACAACTGCACGGCAAGCTCCAACAGAAGGGGCGGGTAGTCAAGCTTGAGGGCTTCTTCCTGCAGACATGCCAGATTGATGGTGTCATAGAAGGTTGACATGTCCATCAGTACAGTGATGCCGTGATTCTTTCTGGCCTTGGTGACTTCCTGTCGAAGCAGCCTTTCCAGAGCTACATGCAGGACGTTGGCACCTGGTCAAGCTTTGTCATGGCTCATGCTGGGCGGAAGCTTCTGTTGCCATTGGTCCAGCAGTGATTTCCTCATCCGGCACCACACTCTCCATAGAGTGGAGGTGAGTGTGATGGGTCTCTCCATCCTCTGGTTTTTGGGCAGCGTGACCACCAGGTGCATCTGCAGTTGCGTTGGAAGCTCTGCTGTGGTTTCCATACGTTGGAAGAGCTGCAAGAGCGGATTGAGAGCCAGTGGTGGCATGCTTTTGAGCATCTGGGTAGACACGGCATCTGGTCCGCTGGCGCGGTCTGGAAGTGCCTTGAGGACCCTGCGCAGGAGTCCTGGTGTCAGAGGTTCGAGGTTTGCTGCTTGCTGTTGTGCCGCCTGCTGGAGACAGGGTCTCGGTGTGGGGTTCTCTTGTCTGATCTTCCAAAGACCTCCCCAGTCAGCTAACCGTTGGTCCATCCGTTGTGGCATTGGTGTCATACGATATGGTCGCTCCCAAGCCAGTTCACTGCTTTTCAACTTACGGAACAACCCTTTCAGACCTTTTTGGTAGCCTTCCTGGAGCCATTGCCTGTACTGCAAGGACGTCTCCTCGTTGGCTTCTTGTTGGGCCTCGTGGAGTTGACGCTCAATCGTTTGGAGGAGCAGTTGTGCTGCGTGAGGATCACGATATCTATGCCAATGGTGGCATGTGTCCAGAAATTGAGCCCAAGTTGGAGCCCCAACCCAGTGCCTGTGAGCATGCCGAGTCCTCTGCATGAACCCTTGAACTGGACCTCTGTGGCTGTCCGCCGGGAGTTGGAGTGCCAGTTGAAGTACCGCCCTGAGTTGTTCCCGGAATGCTGGCCGTCCCTTGCGCCAGGTGTGGGCTTTTGTTTGAGGAACAAGGGGTTTGGTTACCACTTGCAGCTGGTACCCACGCCCTTGGGCCGCCCAGGGGTTCTCCTGAAGGAGGTATTGCTCAGTCTTGGACAACCAGTCTGCCCATGCTTGTGCTGGTTTGTTTGGCGGGTTGCCGTATAGCTCAACCGTATGGGCCTGGGATTGGTACGTGGTCCACGGTCTGAAGTCAATGTCCGGCACCTTCGGTAATGGTGGAAAGTAGGGCATCTGACGGTACTCTCTGGTTGCAGCTTCAATGTCAAACTTCAACTTCAGCAGTGCATGTGGTCTCCATGGAACTGCCCATTCCGTGAGCAGGGTCGTTGTTCCTGCTAGCGTGTTGTGGAGGATGGCATAATCGATGGTGTTGCCAGAAAGCACACTGTGATCAGGAGCCAGTATCCCAAAGTGGAACTTGGAAGAAAGCACCGTGCCCGCCATGACATTGGGTGGATTCTGGCAGTCTCCAATGCACACAAAAGGGTGTGCAGTGTGAGTGAGCAAAGCTAGCAACCTTGCCATGATGGTGGCATTGGTCTCACTCTGAAGTGTTTCACCAGTCTTCATGTAGAGACCTATGACCAAGAGAGTGGTCTCCGTGGCCTGCCATAGGAAGCTCTGAAACCCGCATCCTTGCACCGTGTAGGCCTCAAACTGTGTGATGCCTGTTGCAGGGTCCGCAATCGCCAAAAGGCCGCCATGGGTACCTGTTTTGTCCTGGTTTGGCTCAGCAGGTGTGCCAAATGCTGTACGTCCTCTGACGGTCAGGGATTGGCAGGTCTCATAGTGTTTCTGTGGATCCAAATGAGTT